CTGGGGCTCGCTCGAAAAATATCTTGGACACAGGTGGAGACAGGGTCTGCAATTACTTGGAAATATCCGAGTGTTGTTTTGGAGGGCGATGATTCTGTGGGCGAGTTCTATTCAGTCGCTTTGACTAATAATTATCAGCAGGCAGACACAGGTACAAAGATGATACACAAGGGCAAAAATACAAGAAGTAGAATTATTTCAAAGGGCATTTCAGCTGGGAATTCAAGGAACTGTTATCGGGGCCTTGTGCAGGTTCAATCCAAGGCAGAGAATGCTAAAAATTCCTCACAGTGTGATTCAATGCTTATTGGAGATACTGCGGCTGCCAACACCTACCCATACATCCAGGTAACTTCATTTGATCTTGTCTTTTATTTTTTGGGCATGAGATTACGTACGTTGTTTTTTAATCCTCATGACACAGAACCGAGCGCAATGACATTCTAGGATTCATATAGCCGACCCCACTTAGTGGGAAAAGACTTTGTTGTTATTGTTGTTGTTGTTGTTGTTGTTATGCTTGCCTTAGCCTGATGGTTATTTAGTGTGATGATTTTTTAGATTGATCCTTCATTGGATTGCATATGACTTTGTGTTACTCTGCCCTTGGTACTTCATATGATGCTTCCATCGAATATGAATTGCGTAGTATCATTTACTGTCTTTATTGCAGTGGGCGATCGATTTATTTTCAGTACATTCAAGACTTTCTGTATCTGGTGTGAACCTTGATTTGGCTGTTTTGCATTGATTTCCACTTCAATTCATTTCCAATATGTTGATTGGTTTTCGTCCATTTAGCGCCCGTATAATGTGTAACTATAATGGAGTGCTCGTTTATTCGTTAATGAGTTCCTCACCTGTGTTTAACAGGTAAAGAATCCCTCAGCTCGAATCGAACACGAAGCAAGTACTTCCAAAATTGGTGAAGACCAGCTATTCTACTTTCAAACAAAGGGGAATCGAGTATGAGAAAGCCATGGCCGCTATGATATCTGGGTTTTGCCGGGATGTATTCAACGAGCTCCCTGACGAGTTTGGGTCTGAGGTGAACCAGTTGATTGGCTTGAAGCTTGAAAATTCAGTCGGTTAGAAAACAGCACTGGTTTAGGTAAATAAGCTGAGTCGATGAAAGTTCGATCTTTTTGTCAAACGGGTTTAAAATCCGAGTAGTTTGCAAAGACGTTTTAACTTGATAGCTACGTTGTGAAATGGCTAGAATATGGAAAGTATATGTACATAGATATTTGCTGTAAATGTGTACGCTCTGCTGTCAAAATATACAATGTAACGTAAGGCATAACATTAAAAATGCTTGTTATAAATTGAGCTTAAGGTTATCAAATGTGTCGAACTTGCATTGAGGCAACGATAAACATACGCGAATGATGGAAAATCAATTCGCTTTTACATTCTTCTCCTCCGCCCCTTCTGTAGTTTTTGGAGCAGAACTTTTGTTGAACAAAAGCGTCATCTGATCGACGAAGAGCATGCTTCTCATTTGCTCCAGTTGTTCCCATTCTTTCTCCATCTGCAAATCCAACGCCTCGAAGCGAATAATCTTCTTCTGGATCTCTCTCAGCTGTACTTCTGTAATCCCTGATATTGATCTTCCCACATCCAGCCATTCCTTCTCAAGCTGTGAATTTGAATCTACAAAAGCTGCCCCCAGTGCATCCAGGTCAGTTTTATTGTCTCCATTTAATTCAGCATCGGCTTCATGCTGTCTTGCGCTCGAAGCCAGAGATGGAACACTCATTTTACTTGTTTCATAATCCGCCGCACACAGGGTTGTTACGGCAGCAGAAGCAGCAGCCTCTGCAACCTGTACGCCCGCCAGTGCTGACAGAAAGGCGGCCTGAGCCATAATTGGGTTGCTTGCATCCGCAAGAGGCGTGAGACGCATTCTTTTACTTAAGGACGGTGTTGTACCGTCACCATCACCATCACCCTCCAATCCAGATTCAGCATCAGCTGCATCTTCCTTCATTCCACTAGTCTGCTTGTAATCCAGATCCCCAGTAAACTCCTCGCCAAAAGGAATCATGAGAAAATGAGCAACACATTCCTTCTCACTTCTCCCGACATGCTGCGCAACCTTCCTCCAATCGTCGCCATAATGCATAAGGGCTTCTAGAAGATGCAGAGTATCTTTATCAGCCCAGCCACTCCCCATCTCTTCATTGATTTCAACCCGCCTGAAATCGGAAGAACTTATGCCGATCTGATAGTTGCTGCGAACATAGCACCTTGCACATAGGGTCATGTCATTCTGTTCCAACCACAAATTAAGAACGTCAGTTGCAGCAAACCATAGTTATCAAATGTTCCTTAAATTAGTCAAGTCGAACACGATCAAACGAAACCTATGAATGAATTTCAAATAGAGTGACAATTACATCAAGCTAATCAAATTCAATTCCAAATAAATCAATGGTAGCAGAAGAATCACAAGAACAGACCTTTTCGGAAACAAAGCAGGCAATGCTGCAAACAGACTTGCAGCCATTGCAGGTCCTCTTCTTTGGGCTCTCCTTGTTGGTCCCGGAAGACCCGTCCTTGGGGACCGCCAGCGGGGGATTCAGCGCCGCCATTAGAGGACGCAGCGGCGGCCTTGCTGCTGTCCTTGTCCTCCCACCTGAGGGGCTTGTTGGGTGCGGAAGGAGTGTAATTGATCAAACCCCACGCCTCCAGGAAATCAAAAACCCTCCTAACGGAGCCGACGTCGCCGACGAGAGCCTTGCGGGCCTCCGTGAAGGTGAGCTTCCGAGAAGGGTTGACGGCCCTGGATTGGCTGACGATGGTGTTGCGATAGTACTTGTAGAGGCTAGGGCTTTTGGAAGGGGATCGAGAGTCGAAGAACTCGGGGAGGAATCGGACCTCGCAGTGGTGGATGTGGTCCGGCGAGAACCAGCTGGAATAGCTGGGGACGTGGATGACGTAGGCGTCAGAGGTGGGACGCGGTTCAGTTTGGCGTGGGGTGGCGGTGGTCGGAGTCTCCGGATTGACGGGGATCGGAAGTGGAGTGGGTGGGGGTTTGGATGGGGTGTCGGAGGAGGAGAGGTCGACGGCCGCTGATTTGGTAGCCATGGGATTTAGCGGATCTAAGGTTTAGAGGCCTTTTCTGTTTTTTATTTTGCTTTAAATTTCAAGTTTTTTTTTTTTTTTTTTTTTTGTCAAATTTTTAAATTTTAAGTTGGTTATTTTCAAAATGGAGGACAAAGTTTTAATTTCATATCATATTTTAGATTATTGATTTTCTATCCATTTGTGTTTTTGGTCTGATTAATTATGAAAAATAATTTATGAAAGGGAGCTACACTTGCAATAACATTGACAAAAAAAAAAAAACTCATCAATTTAATAAATAATTTGAAATTCATAAAGACAGAAGGTGTAAATTAGTACAACTTTAAAATATTAAAGTGCAATGTGAGAAAATTACAACTTCATAATTCATTTTGAGAATCGCCACAAAAATTAAAAGTGTACTAAATATAATTAACTCTAAATTTTAAGTACTTTTGAAAGAAGAAAAAAAGTTTTTTATACTTACTTTTGGATGGAGATAGAAGAGTTCTAACATTTTTTTATTAATCGTGAGAAAAAAAAAATTAGATGAGAAAATATATTAAACCAATTGTTAGTAAGTAGGTTTGTCTAATGAATGCTAAGTTTTGTTATTTGTACCCACAACATTAATCCACCTTCTCTAATTCTACCAAATACTTTAATGATATATTTTCTTTCAACTATACGCCTCATTTGAATACACAACTATTTTTAAATTAGAATGCACTTTTTTTTTTGTGAATTCTCCACTACCGTATTGTTCACATCATTTTCCTTTAATTCCCTCCTCATCCCTTGTCCGCTTCGAGTTCAACTCAGCCTCGTCATTAGTACTTTGACGCTAGGCCGACCTAATGTTTTTTTATAGTCATGGTGACTTTGGAAGTTTCTATGTCCATGTCTTCGATTATTCCAGATAATTCTTTTGAGTTATTTCACGTATATTTGTATCGTCCAAGATTATATTTTAATTTTCTCCAACATCGTAATAATTCCAGATTATTGAAAATTGACAGATGTATAACTAAATTCTACAATTGTGAAAAATAGTAATTACTATCTAAAATGGTATAATTTTCTTGTGTATATATAGTTGGCTATCACGCCAATTGAAGTGAAATTCCAGCTAAAGCTAGAAGAAACAAAAATTGCGCCCACAAGGTTACACACTTCCGACGTGAAAAATAAAGAGGAGAGTTTGAGTAAACCTTGTCAACGGCATCTCTCGGATCCAGATGGTCTGTGCCTTCCCTTCCTTGAGGAGCTGGGACTGCAACTGGCCACCAAGGCATGGGAGGGCCTTGCCCTTGTGAGGAGTTGTGCTTTTACCTGAAACAAAGTTAGACATTTAAAATCTTATTAAAACATGATTAATTTAGAAATCGTTTGATAAATGTTTCGTTTTTTAGTTTTCACTTTTTTTTAATTAAAAAAAAATGAAACATTGTTTTCTAACTATCTTCAGTTTTCAAAAAAGTGTCAAATTTTGAAAACTCAAGGATGCTTTTCGGTTGTTGGTTTTTAGTTTTCATTTTGTGTTTTTTTTTTAAACTGAAAGTAGTTATCAGACAAGATTTCAGTTTTCAATTTTCAAAAAAATGAAAATAAAGACTAAAAGCGAAATGGTTATCGAATAGGCTATTGGAAAAGAAGGTATCGACGAATTGTAGGTTAGATAAGTTCTTATGATATTGTATCTGTCTCTTTGCACCTAATTTTGAATTCTCTTTCTTGGTTATTGAGAAGCCTAGAATATTACATTGTAAAAAATATATGAAAGTACCCAATTTGATTAATTATTTGGCAATTAGCAAAGAATGATCACTTTTTACATTTGGTTGTAGAATTGATTATTTTTTAGTAACAATGAAATATTAATCATGCAACATCCACATAACGGTGACATAAAGATAGTTGATCATTTATACAACCAAATGTTAAAAAATGATCATTCTTGCAAATTCTTCTTAATTCTTTTCCAACACAAATTTAAACAATGACTATAATATGTTATTTAAACAAAAAAAAATATTGTTTTACAATTGCAGCCAATTTTTTTTAAGAAAATAATAAATTTTTTATATGAAATAATTGAATGCTTAGGTCACACGAAACTGATGATATTGATATATTTGACCTATTGTTTGGTGTTATCCATTTAAAGAATGAGAAAATGAATTGGGAGGAGTGACATATGAAACTGAACCAAATAATTTGAACATGAATATTACGTTAAATGTCTGTGTGATGTCAATTCCCAAATGCAAGCATGGTCTGATAATATACTCTCAATTAATCGATGAAAACGTCATTGACTTCTGGTCACATATGAATATATTTATAGCTTCAATTTTAAATATAAAAAAATAGATCAGTTGGTAATTTTGTCACAGCAATTTATCCTTCTGGAGTCTGAGAAGACGCATATAGGCATATATATATATATATATATTTGTAGCTTCGATTTTTTTAATAAGACGATACTTTAAGCTATTTCAATTTACAAGAAGGGAGATTCGAACTTAAAAGTATGATGCCCTTTGATATACTCTTTTTTATGCATAGCTATTTTACTTTATCGAGGGTGGAGGTTTGATCTAAATTGCACAATAATTAATCATAATAATTAGATATCAAACGTATTATTTTATAAATCAAGTCAAAACTTCTTAGCCTATAAATATACGACTAAATCGTAATACTACAAATCATCGACTTTAAAAATCATAAAAACTAGCACTCTTGCATTTGTCAGGCTGAAGCCGGTGGGAGGGTTGACTTGAATGGAATGCCACTGCGAAACCAACTTGGAAGCCAACATGTTTATCCCTCTTGGCCCTTCTCGCTCTACTTTGACTCTCCAAAATTTTTTTCTGCATATTATAATTGCAATTATTTTGTATTTTTCAAAGATCCTTGACGCCGGTGGAGGTTTTTTGTCTGTTTTAAACACGGTAAAGCTGCATGTTTCCCTCTTTCTTCCTTTGACTTGAGAGCTCTCACCTCCCTAAGGATCCCATGCCGGCCAGCCTGCATCACCCTTTCATTTCTTAATTTTGGCGGTGTACTTGCATGTTTGTAGAGCTGGTCTGCCATGAATAATTATACTGATGATTGAATTTTATATTCTAAAAATAAGATAATAATATAATAGTACTTATAATTAGATAACGTTACGAGACTGAATAAGGGACTTGTAACTTAATTGGACAAGAACATTATCGATAAGTAGTGATGACGACAAGGTCGGGTTAATGGGTTCAAATGACTTGAATCAATATGTTTTCTGTTTTCCTAATCTTCATCTCAATAAAATAATAATCGTAAACTTTTGATTAATTAGATTTTACTTTTAACCATACTAGAGACTTGTACATTAATTGATTAAGAACAGTTATCACGAGTCGACAACAATACATGGTTAATGGGTTCCAATAACTTGAATAAATATGTTTTCTTTTTCTTTCACTAGTCTTCATCTTAATATTCAATTTTGACTTCACTCTTTAATATTGATCTTATAGATATTTGATGAAAATGCCTCTTCGACATTTCAAAAGCACAAAACTAAACTAAAGTTATGATTTATGAGAGAGCTTTTTAAATAATCGCAACGGGACCCCATTGTATATAAGAGTTCATGACCTCTGCCAACTAAAAAAATTAACTTTAACCTAATACTTCATATATCCTCCACATTCATGTACCTACTGAAAAGCTCCTTGATCTTGATTCAAAGTGTAAACTACACAATTTTCAATAAATTATATGCCTAATTAATTAAGTAAATGCATGAACTAATTCTTAATTTTTGAAAAGCTACGTAATGCTAGGAAGACTAAATTTGCAAACTAAATGATATGTTGTTAATATAAAGGAGCATGTTTATCAACGTTTAAATAATAAATCAATCATCAATTTTCATGTCCTTTAATTTTTAAATTTTTTTTTTTTTTTTGAAATGAGTCCCCCCAAGTTTCCATAATCATCGCTGTGATTTTCTTGATCATCCAATTGATTGAACCCACATGATTTCACAGTGACAGTACTCCTTTTTCTAATTTTTAATTAACTCGCATCCATTGGCATCTGATCCAAAACCAAAGGCCCAGATCCTTGGATTCCCCATTGATCTTGGATTGACATTACACTTGAATATTAAATCATAGTGGCACACTCGCATGTAGTGTAATTACTTAACATTTTCCCCTTTTTAAATCTTATGATCATAAATTAAACAAAAAAGTTTAGTTTAACTGGTTTTACTAATATAGGTCTTACTCTTCCGAATATGTTTATATGGTATTAAAAGGTTAGTTTGGTGCGGACCTGGTTGTTCGCAAGGTTTCTTGTTTTACCTCATTTCTTTAAAAAAAACAAAAAAACGGGTTTTTTAATTAATTCACACAAATGAGATGATGAAGAAAGGCCAGCTCAGTGACTGCAATTTTTCTCTGCATTATTTTTGCACCAAACATTAGTAGTGCACATGCATTGCTTCATCAGCAAACCAACTCTTCAATGCTCTCTATAAATTAAAACGTCACTTAATTATAACCCATCTGAGCTCACATAAGCATAACTGATATTACAACACCTCTCTCTCTCTCTCTCTCTCTCGCTCTCGCTCTCTCTCACTCCCTCTTTCTCATCTCTCAATCAGAGTGAGTGAGCAGATATTTTTTTCCTTTGAAGCAAATGGATGTGATGATCAGAAAGTCGTACGGCGGCTACTCGAAGTTGGACAAGGAAGATCCTGAAGATGTAAATCATCGACGGGCGCAGTTCCTGATCTACAAAGTGTTGCTGCAAGCAGAAATGCGGCGAAGGCCTTCGAATTTGAGGATTCGGATACGTAAACTGAAGGTGAAGATTGGGAGGAGATTAAAGAAGTTGAGGAAGAGCATGCTTCTAGGTATATCTGCCGCCAGGGTTTGTGTTTATAAGCGAGTTTTTAATCAACTAAAAACTTGCATGACCTTGTTTGGCCGCGGAGATCAGGGAACTGTCAATGCAACTCTTCCAGTTTTGCTTACCTGATTTAAATAGTTTTAATCATGTCTCTTTATTTTCTTCTCATCCATCTTTTTTCATATAAATACCAACTTGGAATTTCGATCGGCGTTTGATTTTTTGTTCCCATATATAATATAAAACCATAGAGTTTGCTTATTTTCTTATATAGAACAACTTGAGAATGTCATATGAGACGACTCTCAGTTTGGTTTGACTTAAAGCGATCTCATGGGTTAATTTCATTCAATCATCTGTGTTCGAGCGATCACCAAAAAAACGTACATTAATTAAACGGGCATGTAAATTTTTTTATTTTTTATTTTTTTGAAAGAAGCGGCACATTCTAATTAACAAAAGCCAAACGGCAAAGTTAGAAATGAGGAAGACTCTCCTCCAGAATCAGGCCTGATATAACTAGAGGAGGATCCCTAGTCCAACACAACTCTCATCAATCTGAATCCTGTCGAGACGATGGGCCACTCCATTAGCTTGGCGGCGAACGTGGGAAGGTGTGACTCCAGTGATTGATCTAAGCAAGGAGAAATTTTTAGTTGTAACGGAAACATAAGTGATACATCATGTGTTTTAATAGGAGGGGTGAAAAATTTTAATTTTTCAGTTATTAACTTTTTTTGCACACACATATCCCACAATTTGTATAATAACACGTGGTGTACCATCCCGTGTACCGGTCACACTGAAAAATCTCTCCTAAGCAAGGCCTTAGCATCTTCTACAATTGTACCAACCATTCTCGAATTGAGAGAAGGCTCCAGCAACGGCGAAGTGATCTGAAGAGAATCATTCTCAAAGATAAAATTTTGGAAACCGCTTTCCGCCGTCCAAGCTAACCCCGCATGAACCGCTATAGCTTCACCCTGCAAAGGGGAGAAAACATTGGCCAACTTTCTGACGAACGCAGCCAAGAAAACACCGTCTGAGTCTCTGACTACTAATCCTGCACCCCCAAATGCAATACAGTTTAAAAGAGTGACAAAGTTAAAGTTTTACCTATACAAAATGATGGAGTTATACTAATCAACAATACAATTCAGGAGGTCCTTTATCCTTCGTTTTGTACGTTTCGAAATGATATGCAAAGCACAAAGTAATTAGTTAAGCACCAAATTAAGCCATATATAACTTATTAATGTCCACTAACCCATCGACAAGAAAGATATTCATAATTTGTGCAAAGAAGTCAACTTCCCCTCAAGACACTCCTCGCATTTACACATTATACATCCAATTCCAAGTTCCCATGATGCTTTGCAGTAGTAGTACTGCTGTCCTAATTAACTGTCATTTTTAGTACCATTATTTCATATAATCTTGGAGAAGTGGCCACTAAATCCAATTAGCCTAATTAATTAGTGTCTGAAAAAATGTCCACAAATAAGTCAACTAAATTTACAAGTTGGATTGTCCAGGTAGGTTAGGTATTTTCGCTTCAAATCATTGTGTTTCATGTTCAAAACACTTCTCTTTCTTTACTGTAATTTAGTGTATAATATCGTTTGTAATAAGAAAAGAAATGTATTTGTTTGGATTTTTAATTATTTACTAATTACACGAATCCTAGCCCCGCGGGGGGGGGGGGGTGGGGTGGGGGCGCCCCTGTTATAATTAACATGACATATAGGTTTGGTAGGTAACAATTCTTAATGAAACTTGTGTTTGTGCTCCAGAAAATGCTTGGAGACCATGTTTTTAGATTATTTTTTTAAAGACCACATTATGTGAAGATTGATGGTTGAATTATTCCTTTAATGAAATAGAGGAGTCCAACTATCCAAATATGGTTCAAGTAGATGGTCTCTTTTAGCATCATGGATCACCCGAGGTGCTCCTAATTTTGTTCAGACCCACGAGAATCCCAAGTCTCTGCATTTATCATCCATGCATTTAGACAAGCATTAACGTGATTAATCCAATGAAGAGCTATTGGATGACCCGAATAACTATTCATCTATTGTATTTTCATGTAAATAGGGGCGACTGGCTAGAGGGAATTATTCAGAGTTTTCAATTTAAAGGGAATAACAGCTCTATTATGAAAAAACAGGTAGACTACGCCAATTCCTTTATGAGTGACTTTAAGAGATTAGGGTCCCCAATAAAGTAACTATTGATTAGGGAAAGCGGACTCTAGAGGATGGGTGAAGTAACTATTGATACCCCCACCCCCCCCCCCCCAAAAAAAAAAAAAAAACCTCTAGCGGATGGGTGAAGTACAAAAATGTGCCAAGGGTTCGCTCGGTGTGGTTTTTGTGCAATATGCTATCTATTTGTCTTTTATATAGCATATTAAAATATAACAAGCTCCACTCCATGATATGTATTCTATGTGCGAATGGGTCAAGCCCTAATTTCTTAGTGACTAAAATTAGTGAATCCCGAAAGTTATGTATTCTTCTGAGATTCGATCGAAGAACAAGACACCCATTTTCTTCTTCTCTATTTGTATCTGTTTATGAAGATTACCCATTTCTGTAACTCTACATCTTTCTCCAAGAAAGGGGAAAAATGAATATTATCAGAAGTTGAAAAGCATGCATTAAAACAATTTGAATCCGCCCAATGATATTGGGTGTGCCGAGCCAGCAATTGTGACCTGTTGAATACTCGTGGCTTTTATGGTATGTTGAAAACTCGTGGCCTGTTGAAAACTTGTGACGCCATCAACTTTTTAGTAGAGGCTGCTCCTTGTCATCCCATTTCTCCACGCGACTTTTGGCATTGTCCACCTGAATAACTCAGTGCCCCAAAAATACATCTTAATTAAGATTTGTAAATGAACTATTGAGGAGGCTAGCTTAGGGGCTTATTAAATAATCTGCACAAATATATTATAAAAAATTTCTCCAAGCCCATTTGTTTAGCATACAGGACACCAATCACGGATTTTTACATATCAATATCTTGCGTCTCATTCAACTTACTTTCTTCATCCATATTGTTTTTTATTGAAAAATTAATATCTCTTTAAATCCAAATTTATTACCTAAACTATCATCTCAAACCCAATTCAAAAGATTAAGTTATCTTTACACTAATTCCCTTTATAAAATAACATATGTAATTGATTTTTTTTTTAAAAAGGCGTCCTTGCCCCACCCCCTCTTCCCACTAGCATGGCCACTTTTTTTTTTTTTTCTGCTACCAAACCTAGATATTTGCCTTTTTCCTTTCTATTGATATGCATAAGCAACAAATCAAACAATTCATCCCCTTATATTTATCAACAAGCAAGGAAGTTTATAATCTAAGAACATTGGTAAGAAGTTTTTCCCTAGAATTTTCCAATTGCAGAAAGTTTAACAAACCATTCAGGATTGATGAAAAAATTGAAACCCAAATACTCATATTCTAAACTTTAAATATTGAAATCAAACGAACAAAATATTCATAAATTGAGCCATACCTTATTTGGAGGATTCAAAACTTAAAATCATCATTCATCAATAAAAAAGCTTGTTTTTTCTCTACAAAACCTATTAGGATTTTAGCCAGAATGAATATAGGATAAACAAGAAGTCATGGTAGGGTTTAATGGGTTTATTGATAAATTTGAGTTTTATTATTAATTTCATTTTGTACTTAATAGTAATTAAGCAATAGGGTAAAATAGACAATTAACCATTTAAATTTAAGTTGGGTGTAGAAAGAGGTTAAATGGGTTCAAATAAAATTTCCTGATATATAATAAAAATTTTCTCCGAGCCCATTTGTTTTGTATACAGGACACCAATCACAGGTTTTGACATATCAATATCTTGCGTTTCATTCACAATTTCAAGATGTACACAGTACAAGTATAGTAATTTTACATGGTAGTCACGATTTTAAGGTAAGTTTATAGTACTAACACAAAACAGAAATGTTATATTTAATATTTAATCTTAAATCTGCCTACACAAAATGAAGTGAGCATAGTGATTACTGAAATTACCTCTTTATCCCAGTCTGTACGAAATGTTACCCACAGTAAAATTAAGGTCTGCATCAGAGTTCCTCCTATCATCCCCGACCATATTCCCTGTATAATACATATGTATATCGAAATCTAATTAATTCCTTTTTCATTTTTAGAGAAGATGTTCACTTGCCCCTGTTTCCTTGTCGAGCAAGATTATATTTTGCTTCATTTAGCTTCTTATTTTGTAAAATATTATGTATTCCGCAATAATTGAGTTGGTAAATTGTACCTCAGCACCAAGGTCGAACACAAATCCAAGAACACAGCCGCATGGAATTCCAACTACGTAATAACATCCCACATTCACATATGCCACAAATGCTTGCCACCCACACCCAACCGCCACCCCTACAATGATCACCATATATGTTATATCCATAATTATGTAAATACAAGTTCAATTATCATGAAAAATGATTTAAATACAGGTTTAATGATTACATACAGACAAGAACTAGTGTTAAATAATAATCACACGACATATTTTCAAACGCCCCGTGGTTGCTCCTTGTGTGTATTTCAGCGTTGAATAGTTTCTGGCTCATCATGAGTGCTATAAAATGGTCTCATTCTACGTTCAAGATAGGTGACTTTCTTTTAAGAATATCCAGCAACAACCCACTTGGACTTCTAAGTATTCCAAGCTATAAGAATCATTAAAAGCAAAGTTCAACCTACTCTCAATGCCAGACAACACTGTTATCAACACGGGACATGGGTAGGAGAGTATATCTCCTTTGTGCTACTCCGAGTTGTCATAATTTAGTTGTCGTCCCTTTTGAACCTAGATCTTGAGATCTCCAGTTAACTAGTTGGGTTTTCACTATGACTACTCTAATCACAGGCTTTTATGATTTTATCTCATTCTCCTTGATGATACAACATACGTAATCTCTAGTTGAACCTTTACAATTGGTACCACTAGGTTGACTATTTACAATCTAGAGCCATTACAAACTTCATATCCATGCATGAAAATTGATTTCACCGAGAGCAGTTTATCTCTAACATAAAGACCTCCAAACACATATTGAGACTTAATAAGTAATTTGCCTATATGCTTGGGTAAACTTCCCCACATTTAAGGTATTTTTCAAAGTTCGCTAACCTTTCAATACCTTAAACTAACTCACTCTAAGAGATATTTGAAACCCGTCTTGTAAACTAATTCACAACATTATCTTTTTCTAAAAGCAATTTTTTTCTTCTTTTGAAGTGATCGTTTCTCAAATATAACTAATCTACTCCCACAATTCCCTCATTGTGATTGCTTTGAAGCCTAATGACTAGTCCTTTCTATGAGAAGCACTTCTAGCACTTGTTGCCTTTAGACTCTGAACTTACCGAGATTTCATAGTTAGGACATTAAAGGCAACCACAACTTTCTTTGTATCATATATGTGCACTATTAATATGATTATTTTGTAGAGCGATAGCAATGACAGCATGGTAGAATTATCATGTCTCATCCCAAATATAATTAAAGACATATATATATATATATATGTACATATCTCACATTACATACTATTGTAATGCAATCATATGTGTTCAGTAGGACTTGCCTACTTATAGAAACAGAGATGCCTCTTTTGATGTGATTATTCATGAAGTTTTATAATTGCAACTCCTTATTTGGAGAGACACGTTTTTTCCACCCAAAGACACTGCTTCGAATTTTTATTCAACTAATAAGTTTAATATAATAACAAATATTAAATTCCAACAATATGTGTGTGTGTGTGTGTGTGTGTGTGTGTGTGTGATAGCACATACCGGATAGGACTGGTTGAATCCCATTGAGGACTAGAGTGACGGCCAAATATGGAGTGAGGTGCGAGACTGCCTTGGCCACAGTTTCACCGCTGGTGAAGGCATAACTGATTACGTCGCGGAGGGAGAGCACAACCACAGCTTCCACAACAGCAAAAGCCAAGGACACCAAAGTTACTACTATAACCGAGAATGCTGCTGACTTTGGATTCCCAGAACCTAGCTCATTGCTCACCCTCACACTGCATACGTGCATGCATGTATTTTATTGATTAATTCCCCATCAATTAATTTGTAATTATAGATCTACTTATCCATCAATTAAACTTTTTAATTAATTATGGCTCAACATATTAGCTAGATTAATTAATCCAACCAATATTTTACAAAACAAATAAATGTACGTACCTTGCAGCTGCATTGAACCCGACTGAAACCATGAAGAACACTCCATTTAACGACATGCTGCACAAGGGGAAACCATGCACCGTTGAGTAAAACCACGAACAAGCTAATCATGCATTTATACCTATCGAAGAAATGGGGTTCGCTTTCATTCTTTTGCAACAAACCGAACTGTTAATTCTCAAAAGCATTGAGCATATATGTTTCTATGTGTGATATAAAGTTTTGGTGATGACTAATCTCAAATGAGAGAAGAACTAATATGTTTTTTAAGTCTCAAATGAGAGAAGAACTTTCATTCTTTTGCAACAATACGAACTATTTATTTTTAAATCTCCAATAATAGATTGTTCGTTCTTACAAAGGAATTTAATCCAAAGTCTTTCGCCAATATGATTATCACAATGTAATTTCAATGTTTCATATTTAGAACACTATGTTTATCAATTTATAAAGTGAAACTTAAAAAATAAACCGATTGAAAATAAACGGTTTGAAATCGATAAAATTTAACGAGGTAAAGGGACGTGTATACTATATGACATATGTACGGATTTGATTTGGCCACATGGTTTTCTTATTACATGCACTATATAATGTATGATGACAAAATAATTTGTCTGCTTGTATACATCACGAAACTATAGCTGCAGATTTTACCAAAAAAATAAAAGAAACTATAGCTGCAGATTTTACCAAAAACAAAAAACTTTAGCTGCAGATTTTTTAAGCACGAAGTTCTTTCCGACAGACAATTATATAATGGAAAGAAGTTCTGAAAAAATAAGCAGCAACCTGCTGATGACCAATGATAACTGAATACGTTTTTAAGTTGAATTGAAAAATTAACAATTTAAACACATGTCTAACTGTGATTGATCATCAGTAGGGGCTATCGCTGATTTTTTAGCAGCCAAGTCATGTTCTTGTTTGTCAGCTGTCTTGTTTAAATCATGAAACCATAGTTGCATATTTACAGTAAAACCCTTTTACTATTTCTTTTATACAAATTAAGTAATAAGTTTAGGGGTGTGATATCCACACACACCCCTTTTTACTTCTCACACACCCTTCTAATTTTCGGCCATCAGATTAGATAAAATGAAGAAGATCAACGAACATAAATTAACAAGGGGTCTGTGAGAAGTAAAAATGGGTGTGTGGATAGCACACTCCTAAGTTTATAATGTGCAGCATCATGTGGACACAAGAGCTTCAAACATCACTTCAAAATGGAGTTAGGCAAGGAACTAATATATATCCAACAGTCAAGGTTAGTCGGAAATGAAATGTAACAAAGGAAGTTTAGGATCAACTGTTTCTTTTTAGTTTATGCATAGTAAAATTATTGCCGTTGATCATAATTAGGTTCATGTAGACGTTGTATTAAATGATTGGCAAGTAATTAAATATACTCCATTTGTGGGATGGAATGGAATAGTTGCATGTAACGGGGTCTCAGTTCATAGCATATATTTCTTCCGCTTCTCTTTTATACGAGATGTGTATATTCTCACTTTATATCACTCGTCACATAATTATTTAATAAAATGAAAAAAAGACAATAACGACACAACATGTAAGTTCCTCCTTCATTAATATTAGGATACGATGGGTGGAAGATATCTCTATGTCGATTGGAGCTATATATGGCAGTTTTTTTTTTTCTTTTTGGTAAAAGCTAAATATGGCAGTTTCGAAAAGGCTTAAGCATATATGTTTGATTAATGTTTCTATTTGATAAAAATTTGGTAGTGACTAATGAGATGTGCTTTTGAGATAGGGACAATGTATATATTCCTTCACTTTTGGACTCGCTCTCCTCAGGTTTGCAAACCCAATTTCGCTTCGTCCACTTACTTTTATTTTTAGGAAAACTAATGAAAATGGTTTGAAAACTTTGAGTTTTAATGATAAGGACAAAATAAAGGGTAAAGTGAATAGTACCAGGATTGACTTTTTAGTGTAAAAATGTGGTTTTTTGTTAAAGTGAACAGTACCGGTGCTTTTCGTTAAAGTTCCATTTATTTTTTATATTCCCTTAGTCAAACCCAATTTTGACTCGTCCGCTTGCTTTTTTTATTTGAATAAATTATACAAAGCTTTTTTTATTTGAATAAATTATACAAAATTATTTTAATTATCGAATCAAAATTTTATATTTTATATTTTAAATATTACAATATCTTAGCTTAATTTATAAATTCATTGTAACGTCAGATTTTTATTAAATTTTTTATCAATTTAATTGTTAAATGATAACTTAGCAGAAACAGAGCCCACTCGTTCTCCAACTGAAATATTTTATTTAACAATTAACGTTAATTTTAAAAAACTCTCTCCTCTCACTTGTCTCCCTCACTCACTCTCTGCTCCTCATTTGCAGAGAAGCAATGGCAGCCATGGCTGCCGTGGCCATAGATCGAACCGGAAAAACGGTTCGCCTCGAACTGAAGATGTGAAGAGATGGGTCAAATGGTTCGCCGTTGCGGGAATCTCGCCGGATAAGTTGAATCCATGCACCCGAATACCAAATCCGGAATTCCGGTTCGTGGCGCCGGCGTAGGAGAGCGTGGCGTGGAGAGCTTCGGCGTAGGAGAGCGTGGCATGGCAGAGCTTGTTGGAGTCGCAGGAAGCGGGTATGGTGAGGTCTCGGGTCCGGTTCGTGCAGGTGGATGAGGAGCATGGAACGGGGGGTAGGAGGTGGACCGGATCGGATCGAATGTGTTATAGTTCCGGGTTTTGTTGCAGTGAAGACAGGAGAGCAAGCTTCCTGTGTCGATAACCATCGAATTCCGACTGGGACGGTGACTATGCGGGTGACAATGTGGTGGAAAGGAAGCTTGTTCGGGGACTTTTGGGAGGGACCCAGATGGAATTTGTTGGGTTTTGAAGGGTAGAATGAGTGATGAAGTTTGGAGTTCGGATTCAGTGAAGCAAATGAGGAGAGTGGCAAAGAAGAATAAGAGAAAAGATTGGAAATTTAGAGAGGTTTTGGATGGAGTCGCAGAATGTGCAGGGTTTCATGGTGGAATTCATATGGTTGATGGGGGTAGAACTGGAATAGTATAAGGGAGGCAGATTGTGGAAGATGGTGTTTTGGGTGGAAGGAGTGGGAGTGAAGGGTGTCTATGGCCACGGCAGCCATGGCTGCCATTGTTTCTCTACAAGTGGAGATTTTTCAGTGTTCCGGTTACACAAAGTGATATACCATGTGTCCTTATATAAATGACGGGTTAAGTGTGTTAAAAGATTAATAAATTAAAAATTAAAAATTTCCATCACTTGTATAAAAATAAATGATATCATCTATATTTCCGTCACAATTAAATATTTTCCCTGCAAATGAGAGCAGAGAGTGGGCGAGAAAGAGAGTTATTATTTTTTAATTAATTTTAATTGTTAAATAAAAAATCAATAAATTATTATTAATTAATTAATTTAATATTGCAGTTGGAGAAGTAATGGGCCTGCAACGTTATTATTTAATAATTAAATAGAAAATTTAAAGAATATATGGCATTGTACTGTTTAAAAAATATGGTATGAAATTATAATTTAATCCATAATTAAAATCATTTTGTGTAATTTAAGGATTTTATTTGCACTAGGTAGCGTGAAACCTAAAGCTAAGACACAATGCAAAATCAATTTGACATCGAACTCACAATTTATAAGAATTAAATTTAATATTTTTCTACTTATGACTGAAAAATAGCAATAAACTATAATACTTGCTAACTGACCTCTTGAGATCAACTTCTTAGATCAAATTTTGTAAATTATATAGCATAATTTGTTGATGATTGTATTATCACTTAAGTGCTGATTTACGTGTTTATTTTTTGTTGATGACACATCATATAATTTACAAATTTAATTAAAAAAATTAGTCTATCTAGTATTCCACTAAATTAAAATGGATAACATTAGATAATAATTAATTAAAAGACAGAGTGGTGTTAGCCCTTACCATACGGCCAAAGAATTTAGTGCAAGCTCAGGATTTTTTAGCAACCCAGCAATCAAAACTAGCACCTGAGTGTACCAAACCTCCAAGCACAACATCACCGCCGATGCAGCCGATAGCTTGAAAAAATCCCACAACCCAGAAAAGGCTTGCACACTGAAACCCTGCCAAGTCAGTTTACACTGACTGCTCGCCAAGATGTAAACAATCTGGGCTCCAACTATTATCCACCACGACAAACTCAATACAAGAGACGCACCTAGCAACCCTAAACCCAGCTTGTACACAGCAACCCAGCTCAGCAATAAATGCACCCCAAAAGTAGCTGCTGATATGTAAGCACTTGGGGCCACAATTCGTTGTGCTTGGAGAAACTTTTGAATGGGGAAGTTTATGGCGTAGGCAAATATTTGAGGGATGAGACCGTAGACAAAGACGGCGGCGGCTGAGGCCACGGCGGTTGGTTCGCCGAGTAAAAGCAACAAGGGTTTTGCGAGGAGAAAGACTGCCAGAAGTGGGAGGCCAGTGAGAGAGAGGACTATGATTGCTCTTTGAAGGTATATGCTTAACATGTCATACTTTTGGGCACCGTAGGCTTGCCCACATAGAGTCTCCACTGCACTTCCCATGCCTAGCTGCAAGAAACAAGAGCCAAACCAAAAAAATCATTAAAGAGATAAGAATGACAACACACGACCGCATGTTATGTTGTTATACTGTCAATCTAAAATGTTTTTGCATGTGATCGTTCGAGGAGATTGAAAACGTTCATCATCTGAATTCTAATCTTAATAATTGACATTCTAATTTATAACACAAGCCGTAGGGCACATAAAGTTATATTGATAATTGTACCATGAGGCCATAGGCCAAGAGTTGGATGCCGCTGTTGCCGAGAGTGGCGGCGGCCAGCTCAAGATTGCCGAGGTGGCCGGCGAAGATACGAGTGGAAAGTGACATGGAGTTGTTAATGACATAAACCGAGACGGCGGGGGCAGCAAGGCGAAAGAGGAGCTTGAGTTCGATCCATGTGGCCATGCGGAGTCGCTTGAATGGGGGCAATTGGGTGTCGGACAGCACCGTCTCGAGTAGAAAGTCCACACGGTCTCCATTGCTGGAGGCTTCTGCTGCCGGTTCCTGTTCGGAGGCTAAGATGGGTTGGTGGAGTTGGCCTTGAGACATCTCTGGACGGGAAACGTTGTGGTGTATGTGGGTAGCAGTGTGCCACAGTTGGATGCATAGAGAGAAATGGTGCTTGGAATTTCGGAAGTATATGTTTTGAGGGCATTAATAATCCACTTTAGACAACAATTTCATGTTCTCACACTTTTTTCCGTGGACACAAGTGTTTAGGCTTCAATTAATTTATTAGTATTCTTTTTTTATTTTGTAAGCAAATTATGATAGAATTAGAGTTCTAGTTTTTCCAATTCGACAAAAAAAAAAGGGAGTGTAATTGATTAGGTTTTTTAGGTCAAAGGAAGACTTTATAATCAATCGTGCAGATATTTCTTTTTTCATTATTGTGAGAGAAAATGCGCTAAATATGAATCTCGTGTCTCCTAAAAAACAAAGGTGTAAATACAAAATTGAAATTTACAAAGCAAATGTGGAGAGAACGTTGGCTATGAAAGATTTAAAGTTAATATGTCGGAGCGGACAAATTTCTTAAGGTCATGGTACTTGAACCGACACGATGAGAAATGTTAATTAGCATCAGAAAAGTAGGTGTACACTGTACTTCACTTACTATGTGAACAGGTGAAAGAAGAATCACCCATGAAGGGCGACCACTGTAAGGCCCCGACTCTGTCATTCTCCCAATAAAATTCGATTTCTATCAAAATTATTGATATGATAATCACTTTTGAACTAAATTTGGTACCAGATTACGTTACGAAATGTTAAATTTTAATTTTATTCCCACATAAACAGTCTTTTGATTAAATTATTAACACGATTAGGCCTATATAATATATGCATGATCATATCTCCATGCATGCATGGCGTAACTACACACATTTGTGAACTCCAATATATATAGGAAGCCCTTTAGGAGCAGGAATCCGTTCTGCTCATAAATGCACCATATATATGCTATGGTTTAATAGTTTAATTGACAATTAAACTCAAGATGGTTAATTATTTTTAGTTAAGCTAACCTCTGTGCTCCAGTCAATTCGAAATGTGACCCAAAATAAGATAAGGTCATCTCCAACCGAAGGGTCTAGAGGGTCAGAGGGTCGAAAATTGTTTTCAATTGAGGGTCAGGTCAAAGGGCTCGTGGGCCCCACTTGACAAAAAAGGATCAAAGGACCAACCTACCGGCCCAAACTAGCCAACTAGTCGACCTCAGGCCGGCCAAAATTTGAATTCCAACGGTAACTAGTTGACGTCAGCTAACAGTTATTTTATTTTATTTTTTACAGTTTTTTTTTTACAAATTTTTTTTTCTATAACTTCCTCAGCCATTAAATAATATTAAACGTTAGTTACCGTTGGATTTGAATTTTTTTTTTGGCCAAAATTAAAAATAAAATCTCATTTTTCCTATAAATTTAAGTTGTTGTAGTTTTTAAATTTAAATAATAAATTATATTTGCCCCTATGACCCTTTGGCCCTCTGTTGGAGATGGTTCTTTGTGACAAGGCTAAAACGAGCCCTATGACCCTTTGGCTCTTGGTTGGAGATTATAAGAAATATGGTCTTACACTGTTGTTGACCCTAAAAACTACAAAACCTACATGGCACGCATGCAGAGTAACTAATGAGCTAACTACGTCATTCGGTAATATGCGGGGCGTGCCAACTCGTCGGGCGAGGGGTAAAATGTGTTGATGTTGCGTTGAGCGCGCGGCTGACTTCTCGATCTTGTGACTGCAGTCGAGGAAGGAACACTCTCGGTCTTCGGGTTTTAGAGCCTGAAGACAAGGCTCCTAGTTCTGCGAAGTTCACAAATCGTCGACGTCGGATTCGATCACCGTGATTATATTCGTTAAAGTATAAGCATGCCGAATCGACACCAGACTATATGGGCACAAGTACGCAAAACAAATGTACGTCTTGATTGTGAAAGTGGTTCAGCCGTCAGAATGCTGAACTCTAAAACCTACTTGTGAATACCCAATCATAAACAACTGGGCGTTCAATGTGCCGAGCTCAGTAATTCGTAACACCTCACTTCGCCGAGAAGGCTAATGAGATGACATCTGCCAATAGGGATTCAAAAATCATTCTCGACCGAGACTTGGATAGATAACCAATCGGTCTTGACGCAGTACTGTTTATCCAAACTGAAGGTGCTTCGCGGTCACCTGATTCTAAGGAACAGTGCTGTTTATCCAAACTGAAGATGTTCACCGGTTGCCTTCACAATGTTGTTTATCCAAACTGAAGATATGTCTGCAAAAGAAGAAAATAAAAAATCTTAAGATCGTTGAGAGGTTTCGCGAAAGCGAGGGTTTGCGCAGGGTAGTTTTTGTGTTGAATTGGAGGGCGCTTCTTTGATGTCATCCCTCCCCTATTTATAGTAGCCAACCTGCATTGAATCACAATCATTCTCGGATTAGAACTCATTTCCCCGATCCAACTTTATCTTGGCCAGTCCTACTCCTACTAGGACTTTGAACTTAACTCATTATCAGGCCGCATACAATCTCAAACTCCAACATCCTTATCATGTCGAAACTCCTTCTCGTAATAGGATTCACCCACATCCCTCATATTCCCGATGGGACACGGCCAGCTTTGACTGCATGTCCCATGAGTTGGATAACCCCCAACGACCCCTAAGCACGGCCTCTGGGCCGAGAACAATTCTAAACTCGCCCAAACCAGTATTTTTTTGCCCAAACAACTGTTCATTAAAAAATTAATTTTTTTGAGGGCCCTCTGGCCCTCCTTCAGTTGGAGATGGCCTAACAATCTATATAGAAGTACCTCCTATCATCCCACTCCATATTTCCTGAGAAAAGAAATATATAAACTGTAACTAAAAACAGATACAAGAGGAGAAATGGTAAAGAAAAAATGACATTAAAAGTTGAAACAAACATGTATACCTGAGCTCTAAAGGCAAACCCATGTTAAAGTTTCAAAGAGATGGGTAGCTATGCAACATTAATAGTATTGATACTATCTTCCACTTAATTATTTGTGCAATCAGTGAGTATCGAGTTTTTATATAAAAGGCAATGATGCAATTACAAGTGAAATAATTTAATATAAGTTATTATTTATTTTGTAAGATAACCAATGTGGGATATTTTAAATTTTTATACAAAAGTATTGATACTATTAAAAGTAAAATTATTTAATATAAGTTATAAATTATTTTAAGAAATGACCGATGTGACCCATTTTGCTTTATTCAACCCCGGAAAGCCAGTGATGTAGTAGGCATCCCGCGTTAACTATGCCAAAAATGCTTTGCCGTCGATGATCCACACCCAACAGCCACTCCTTTATTTGCACCCCAAAAATGAATTAAAAATCAAAGCAAAACTAATAAAAATGATTTGAAAATTTGAAGTTTTAACGATAAGAACAAAATAAAGGGTAAATCAAATAGTATCAGTATTGATTTTTTAATGTAAAAATATGATTTTTCATTAAAATAAACAGTACTATAAGTTTTTTGTTGAAATTCTCTTAAATCAAATCAAAAAGCACCAAAAGGAAAAGACGGATATTCGTCACAACTGAACAATATAAGAGACAAAAAATAATTTAATTTGGACCACGTACGATTTTAATGTTCAACTACCAGTACCACCAACATGTGATGCTGAGTAGTAGGAGAAGATCGGTACCATCTAATTAAGTAATTAAGCAGCCACAGGACAAGATTTTGCATCATCAGGTACCACCTTCTTTCAGAGGGAGAAATAGCTAAGAATTAAGAGGGAGATTCCAAGCGAACAAAGTTCTCTATTTTGTGAGGATGGAGGAAAGGACGTATATTATACCCATTTTTATTCTTTTTTAATTTGTAAAGAAGATTTCACGATTCGAAACTGTGACTTTTCAATTACAAAGAAAAAACATTTCCGTACGTAATAAGTGTCAATTATCGACCAAAAAAAGATAAGTACTCAATTAATAAGTCTTGCTTTAGTGATAAACATAAACTGACAGAATATTTGTCAATTGTTGTGGTGTAGATTCTCCCAATCAAGTTAATCAACCATGCAAGCAAGGATCAGCTGCATATTACTTAAGTTAAAAGAGTAATGCTAAAGAGATTAAATTTATAGGAAGTTTTTTTTTTGTAAATTAAATGACATAGAAGTAATTATTGGATTATTACTTAAATATTGATAAACGAGAGTATGATTCTTTCCCTTCCTAGTATCCTTCCCCTTCCCTCCCCTCATATTTGAAAGGTTACGTTACAGTTAAGTCACGTCAACGTTTTGTATTAATTTTTTAATAGTCAGAAGAAGATAAAAAGCAACATGTGAGAGGAGGAGGGAGAAGGGGATGTGAATAGGAGATGAGAGAATCATACTTCTGATAAACATGCTCATTTCCTATCGGTGACACATTATTTAGTTTGCAAATTTTGTCTATAATTTAGTCTTCCTAAGATTACTCTAAGTTAAATAATAATTAAGGTACGTAAACAAAAGAAAAAGTACAGAATAAGAAAATGGACATGCAAACGGATACTCTCCATAAGGATCCTGATGATCCTCTAATTGTGTCCATTCATTGTATATCGTACGGTCAGTTTTCATCAGATACTATTTATATTTAATTTAAAATAAAAATATTTAAAATAATTTTTAATCACACGATGTACGATGAACGGACACGATTTGAAGATTCTAATAATCCTCATAAAGAGCATCCTCATTCCAAAAATTTGTTCCCATGTGTTTAACGTGAAATTCTACTTACCTGACAAAACAGGTTCAATGTCGTTGAGAATGGTAGGTGTATGAACCTGTTGAGAATGGTAGATATTGTCGGACCAGGCATCTACTTTTTTTTCTTTTTTTCTTTGTTCTTGTTTTATATGGCATACATCCATCTTATTCTTAATTTATACTAATTATTTTCTTTATTTTTGCTTTTCATTCTCTATTAATCTGCTAATTTAGGTCGAACACAGAAAATAATTAGTATTAAACATCAACGATGTAGAGATAAAAAATTGACGACATAAGTGTCATATATTGAAGACATTAAAAAGCTGAAGTTTTCAGAAATTACGAATTTAAAATTTGAATAGTATGGCCAATTTTCTGTAGTGGAATTATTCTAAGTATTTCTATTGGAATTGCTATGTATGTTTTCGATTTTCTATTTATTATATTTGACTCTTAATTTGGCCTGATTGACCCAATCATGATATTGAAGATGGGACATATTCTCGAAAAAACTCCAGATCCAAAGGATCTGAAGATGGTGCAACATCAAATCCTGTCGCATTACTTCGAATGGACCTTAGCCCGCCTGACTTGCTTTCTGTACTGCGTAAGGGGCATAAGGGCATCGGGAGCATTTTTGCTCACAGTATGGTGTATGTTCATCATCCTATTTGTTACAGTTAGATGAGTATGAATTTCGAAATTCATGTAATGGATGGACACAAATCTCAAAATTCAACTCATCTAATGATAATAAATAAAATGATAAACATACACCACACTAAATGATGATAAGCAAAAATGCACTCGAAGGGCATCTGCGAAGTACTTTTAGTGGTGCCACCACTATAAGTTTAATCCACCATGAAAAACTACGACATGAGGAAATACACGCAAATTTGGTAAGATTAAATTTGGTAAAGGAGTACAATATATGGCGGAGTAGGTTCATCACTTGCAAAACAAGATTATATTTTGGCTGCAATCTAAATTTACATGCAATCTTTATAATGGTGACGGTTACAACTTACAATATGATCAACCACGAGCGATTTCCTAAACTTTTTTACAAAAAACTTATTACAGAAGCAAGCAAGAATCATGAATCTGTAGGATTGGAAGCACAAACTTGAAGTCAGATCGCCGCAGGTATAGTTTCACGACAGTCTTGTGTCGATTAGCTTGGGGGTGATCTGCATAAACAACGAACCATTTCACGAATTCTCCTTCAAGGACTGACATGTTTGCCTCGAGGGAAAAGTTAATTACAGAAGCGTCATAAGAACCATGGCGGAAGCGAGGAGTAGAGAAAGCATCACACCATCATGGTATAGACCTGGAGAACATCAGAGCATATGCTTTAGCCTTTAATGTGCGTGGTATAAGTGTCGGCATACACTGTGGTTTTGTATGTACATAATGCTCAAACTGTTCTGCGACTAGTTCCTAAGTTTTGTTCATAAGGATAACCACAACTTTGAATGCCTTACATACTCCAATTGGGGACCGCTCAAATAAGTTAAATCATCATCGACGAAGATTAATTAATGAATGAATTTACTCACCACTTTCAGCAGATGCTGCTGCAGGAAGTGCAGGAATCTTGACATCTGAAAGTCCAACAAAGTCAGGCAGAAATCATGAGCGCACTACTAAATGAAAAAGGGGTTTTTGAACTTTAATCCCTAAAGAAGATTAAAATTTAAAAAAAACCTGGTGTTAGATTAAATATTGATTTTAGTCCCTAATGTGCCCTGAATTCAAAATAATTAATGTCCATTTTATTTAATGTCTCCCATTAAATATTTAAATTTATTAATACACAAATTTTAATTTATGTTTGACCAAAAAAGAGTTTTTTAATTTATTAATTTTATTTAACATTCTTCAAACTTGAAAGACTCAATTAATGTACCTAAATGTTAGTACCGAAATATATTATATTGAACTAATATATTTAAATTTTAGTACCGAAATATATGTACCTAAATATATGCACCGAAATGTATTAATATTAAATTAATGTACCTAAATGTATGTACTGAAATGTATGCACTGAAATGTTAGTACCGAAAATGTATTATATTGAATTAATGTACCTAAATGTTTGTACCTAAATGTATGCACCAAAATGTATTATAATGAATTTAATATACCTAAATGAAGAAGATAAAGTACATCAAAATATATTGTATAACAAAAATTAGTTTATCTAAATGTTCACAACAAAATATATTACGATGAATGAAATGAAAATAAAAATTATAATGAAATAAAATTAATACATTAAAAAATAGAAAGAAAAAGATAAATAATTAAAAAATCAAAATATAATTAATAACTGAGGTTATTAATGTATCAAGGGACGAAAATTAGATTTTGATCTTACTCATGGTTTTAATCAAAAATTCATCTTTCCCAAGGATTAAAATGAAGTTTTCTAAATGAAAAATACAGCCGCATAAGAAAGTACTGCAAAATGCAGGGTACTCCATGGAAATGAATAAACAGAAACAGCTTGCTTGCACATACGTTTACTGCAAGATGAAGCTGCCCCTTGAGAGGTGGGCCAGGGAGCTGGAATGTTATCATTCAGATCACAAAGGAAGCTGACACCTGAACTGTCAAATGTGGCATCGGAAGGCAGGCTTGGCAAAAGACATCCAGACACTATCACGCAAAAGTAAAAAGAATGACCAGTTTACAAGATTAGAACAAGAAAAGAGCAAAAGCACTGGTATGAAATTATTGACAACTCTACCACCATTGGCAGAGTCAAAGTAGTTATTTTGAAAATAAATTCAAAAAATGTACCCTTTTCTTTCGATACAGTAAAACATTTTGATAATGCTAAGAATTTCTTCGATTATACTAATAATTGGATAATACAAACGAAATAAGTTTATTACCTTGATTTCCAACTGAGTTGTACGAATCCATCCCAATAATTTTGACATGCATAAAGCACACAATACATATTAGTACCATTATAGGTTACTTATAGTTAGCTAACAAAAAAACAGGACAAGAGGAAAGCACTAACCTTGAAGCGAGAAATCCTTCAGGCTTATATGACATAGGCTATACACATTTTCGGTAATATTTGATTTTCGTAACTTCATTCCCAGTGATGCAGCACAATCCAAAGCTTGCAAGTTGGTTATTAAACTCTGCTTTTGCAAGTGGGCCACATAGCTCTCCATGGCAGTACAACATGCAGTCCGGTTACTTATCCCATTCCCACAACCCGTTGCAACATGCTTCATGTCAGGGAAAACCAGGGGACAAGCTGAAGTCAACACCAGACGCAATACACGATCAGATACTCCAATCGAAGAGTGGCATCTTCAAGTAAAATCAAACAAGTATAACACACAGAGAAAAACATTTACTAGTATTCTTAATCTTTCTCATTCTTTTTCTGTCTCTCACACAAAAAAATCATTTAATAATCAACTTTCACAATACGGGAGTAAGCCCCGAATACGAGGAAGGTATACAGCTAGAATTCCAATGATATCTCTTATATGACTATAATCCATATTCATAAAAATGGCAATCCACCTGTAGAATTTCCAAGAAAATCCCTTCCAATACAGAAAGAATGAGACTGATAACATCATAAAAATTTTGAGAGACGGTTTATAAGAAGATATATGAAATAATATATTTATGAATATCCCATGCTTTGACCTGTTAATATAGTAAGTATAATTTTTCATTTTCTATGTAGCACCATGTTTTACTATAAACTCACCCTTGTTAATCTTGCAATTAGACAGTCCCCTTAGAACTTCCTTGGCACGAGAAGGACTGAGTTTCCTTGCCAGCCATCGGAGGACAATACTTTTGCAGCCATTGACTTTACTTGATCTATCAGGTAAGAGATCATGAGCACCATCTGTGCTCAAAACATCAGAAGCTTTTGATGCAATCCTTGTAGCAGCTTCTAATATAGCATTCTCACACGTTTGAGCACAGCATTCCTTCACAGGGTCAATCTTCTCACAAGCAGCAAGCAACTTGGAAGTATCAACTGTATCCTCAAACTCATTAACACCAATGACTGGGCAAGATGCACCAGTCAGATTTGATGAATGAACTGAGCATAATCGTGCAAGACTATCATTTGCACCCTGGGCCACCAAAATCTGCTCGATATCCGATAGGCAGTGTTTAGCAGTTGTCCCATTTAAAGCCAGAACATTGGTCTCTTTACTGGATTGACCAATGAGAATTGTGAGAGTGGCTTTCAACTGTGGACAACACATAACATTAGCTAGCAATGGTGCAAAAACGGACCAGCAATCAATTGAGGTCACAGTCATCAAACTCTCAGCAACACTGAAGTTTAGCCTACAGAGTCCTGCACACACAGATCAATGAGAAAAGTATGGAACTTGTGAACTAAGCCACAGAATGCTTAGGCGAATTTAGTTTAACTTGAGCAAATAAGGAGGGAGGGAGGAACCTGATAATTTTGGGACGGTGGTATTAGTATATGGTGCCAATGGTGAAGGAGCAAGAAGGGGAAGAAAGGGTTGAGGAGTCACAGTAGGAGAGATCATTGGTAACATAGAATCTTTTTGTTTAAACGACAAGACTGGATCTTTAGGATAATCTATGGTGCTGCAACAACATACATGGAGACCTATAAAATGAAAAACAAAGGACATTGGTAAGTAATAACACAAATCACAATCGGAAAAGTTTTAGATGCATAATTTCCTAATAAATTTTAGGGAGCAGTTCTAAAGCCATAGACAAACTAGTCCGGCACCAATGGCAACTAACGAATTTTAGTTATAAATCCTAGAACTATTTAGCAATGTGCATTATAAACCCTAAGCCAAAGGTAAGTATGTTCCTCCATAAACACAAGTAGCATCAATGAATCAATAATGTAGCAAAATGGCAATTACGGTGAAATCTTCAATCCACAATTTTGCGCTAATGTATGTCCTACAAAGTTGTATAAGGGCAAGCCTATACTACTCAAACAGCAATCAAGACCCTAACACAACCTGGGATATCTTAATTCACTCTAAACAGTTACTCGAAACGGCGCTATGCCTTACATTAAGCATTAGATTCAAAGATTGAGAACAACAATAGGACTTCAATATTCTGATACCAAATGCACCATATATTATTTGAAAGCTGAAATCAACATCAAGAATGTTTCACAAAATCTGAGGTGCACACCATACCAAAGATGACATTTTTAGGAACACGAATTCCCTGGCCAGCTAAAAAAGCACAAATCTTTCATAAAACCCAATTGGACTAATACAACTAAAGCAATTATAACCATGACCAAGAAGGCAAAACTCAAACTATTTGCAAAATTAAACAAAACCCAGTAAAGAAATCAACAAAAAAATAAGCTAGAAACTCACTCAGGAACAGGATAAAGACATGGGCAGTGAGCTTCAGAGACGCCATTTCCTTCCTGCCTTCAATTTCCTTACCCTCCAAACAGTGAAACCATCACACAGAGAGAGAGAGAGAGAGAGAGAGATAAACGCAGCGTTTTCAAGCTTCAGGCTTGGAGTTCAGAGAAGGGTTTTGCAGGTGTGAGGAAATGGAGGAGGAAACATTGTGGGAAGGGAAAAGGAAGAAAAGGTGAGAAATAGGGAGAGGGGGAGCAGAGTAGGAGAAGCCATGAATGAGCTTGGAAGTGGGGTGGGGCCCTCAGAGGCATTAATAGCTGTCGTGAGTAGGTCCCACATTGAGCAGAAGACTCGGTTAGAAGCATAGTCTAAAATATTCATAATATTCTGATATTTCTATCGAAATTTCCGTGTTTTTGGACTACCGATATTTCCAATATCATTGATATTTTAGACCTTGCTAAGTCACTCATGTATCTTACCATGCAATATATAAAGTATAAAATATTGTACTAATTCATTATATATAAATGATTATGATGTGTTTAAACTTCTTTCATTAATTACTACATATTTTCTACACTCACAATGTTTGCCAGATCGCTATATAATCAACCTAAATCAATTATATCTATCATGCAATGCATTTCCTTTCAATTTTTTGTGATAAACTAATAGATAATTGACTAAATAAACATCTTGCAAAGTTTCAATAAAAATTTCCAAGTTTTTCTTACAATTTCCGTGGTTTTTATTCAATTTTTATCGATATCAATAATATTTTGATATTTCTATCTAAATTTTCGTATTTTTAAACTAACGATATTTTCGATATTTTATACCTGGTTAGAAGAGGACTGGCGCATTTAACGCCATCCATCGCCTTTTTCTCCCTCCCCACTCCACAACAATCACAACTGGCCATCACCTGCTTTCTACACCAGCCATTTGGCACATGTGACACGTGTGAAAGTTCCGTGCATGATGGCAGTCGTTCGGGATAATTAATGCGGCCGTTGGTCTAAAATTTCTGGTGCTCATTTGTGTAGGCAATCAAATTGAGAAGTTGTAAAATATCAATATTTTTTATTAAAGATATTATGATGGTGTCAAATTTTTTACATGTTCATCATTGTTTCGATTTTTTTATTTTACATTGTTTAATAAACGGTTAGGTTGTATTCTAATTCACTTATACGTGAGAGTATCTGCATTTATAAGTAAGAAATCTTAGTTTTGAATCTCGTAAATAACGAGTTTGAAATCAATTTATATCTCACACTCCTTTAGCGTAAATATATCATTGTATTAAAAAGAAAACTTTGTGTGCATGGTATTATTACATACAAACTTTGATATTGCATAACTACTAATTTGATTTAAAATGTTGATTTGGGTTTCTAGAGTAAAGTTCAAGCATGGTATTGGGTCATTTTTAACTTTTATTATGATATATGATCCGTTATGGTTTGTTTGGAAAAGCAAAGAAAAATGATTAGTATAATAGATGTGAAGGAGAATCCTAATGATGTGGATTATGCCGTTTAGGTACGGAATCCACACCTTGTCTTAAACGGTAAGCATTTCATGATTAAGAAATTTAACGTTGATAAAATATAAAAAAGGTGAAGCAAGACGACTCCTAGAGCTTGGAGGTAGACTAGGCTGCCAATGAACAATATCCTTCCAAGTGACAAAGCGAAACGCATGGAATAAAGTTTCCAATATCCCTCCAACCAAAACATATTAGTATTTGGAAAAATTTGCTCATATTTTATGTAGAGTAATGCTAGGCAGACCAACGTTTTATATCATATTTGCAAACTATATGTTGTATTACCAATAGAAAATAAACACGTTAATTAACACGTAAGTAATAATTCAATCATCAACAGCTACGTCACATGATTCACAAAATTTGGTTTAAATTGATGTGGCATGTCCCAACCAAACAAACATCACGTGAATGATTACTTGGGATCAAGCCCACAAAGATATTGACTTGGCCGCTCATAAAATTTTATTTTTTGAAAAGTCCCTAAAATCAAGAGAAAACTTCAACACGTTGCTTGACCACATCGTCTGTAAGGTAATGCTCACAAACAAACAAGATTCTATGCATTTAGGTTTCGTACCCTGCTTAACACTTGTGAGAGTTTCCTTTCTAATGACGTGATTACGATGTCCTATTGAGGATTTTCTCCAAAATCACTAGGCACTTAAAAAAATAAAAATAAGTAAATAAGAAAAGAAATATTCACCTGCACATGTACACAGACCATAAAATGGAAACGCATAGTGACAAATTTGAATCTCTAGATACAAGAAAGTATGAATTAAAAAAGAATCATAACAAAAGAATTTTAATTTCAGGCCTAAATTCTGTCGTCTAGAGGTATTTCTGATCATGATCGGCGTTCAAACATGCATAGTAATATGAATGATGAACTAATTAACCTCCGGAATACTTTGGAGAACAGGCCTCCAGGGCCGATGATGGTCCATCTCATCACGATCATCATAGTACTGATCATGATCATCAAGGCCGTTGATCCTGAGCCGAGCCAATAACTGTTCCACAGACGACAGACCCTGCATGTTTCCTCCTCCTTTTACCAACTCCTCCAGCTCCTTCTTAGTAATCTTGATCTTCACTTGATCTCCTCCAGTACTACTAGTGCTAGTAGAAAATGAAGGTGTCGAGGCTGCAGACGATGAATATGACCTTATCTCGCCAAGAAGCCTATGCCTTTCTGGGCTGTGTGCCATTTTAGCATCAGGCTCAAGCTCAGAAACATCAATCCAGTCGTCGTCTCTGGCCCATACCATCGCCGAATCGCGTCTCAAACAGTTTCCCATTCCAGCTACGTGTAGCTTATAAAGCCGAACAAGCTTAAGAATTAGGGTTGTTGAGAAATAGGCCCTCAAAGTGAGCTGAAAGAATAGAGAGTTTAACGATGGGGGAAGTTTGTGTTATATATAGGAGCCCTAGCAAAGTTGAAAAAGGTGGGTGGGATTGGGTCGAGACCTTGACAATATTATTGTTATAATATTACACTTGCAGCCTCCAGGAACCTGCATGCACGAACAATATTATATTCAAGGTCGATTTTTAGTTGGTTCAATTTAGAAGAGTAGTGAAGAGGACAAAGTCAGCGGCTCGGCTTAATTTAGAAGCTCAATTTACAAGTTGAAGTAACGTTTGACCGCGCCCCCTTATTTATATACTCTAACGGCACGTTTACGTAAATGTAATTGGAACAAAAAAACAGAAGTGGATTTTGATTATAAAGTATTCCGTTGTTCACCAAATATTCGAGAATAAAAAATTTAGTGGGACCCACATAATCGGAATGATTTTTTTCTCCCCATTATACACTCACTTATTTCTAAAATTTCAAGATTACCCACACTCACTTATTTCTAAAATTTCAAGGTTACCCTTCGGATTAACCCACCAAAATTGGTCTCTTAGCTAAAAAAATAAAAAATCAACAAAATAAAAAAATCAAAGTTTTTCTCACAAAGTTAAATAGTAAAATAAAGTTTTACCAAAATAAATAATAAATGAAAAATGATTAGCATATAAAATAGATTATTAGAATATGAGCATTTTCGTAATCACATTGAATTTCATTCTGATTCATGTTAATTAGTAAACGACTCAGTCTGATTCATGTGAATTAGTAATAACTTATATGGTTCAGTACTATTCCTACTTCAATTTCTAAAAAAAATTATGAACAGTTTCAATAGGAATCTGATTTTGATTCTCCTCAATTCAATTATTTTCATTCAAATTACAGATTAGTAAAATTCAATTATTCTCATTCAAATTACAGATTAGTAAACGAGCCATAAAAGTATAAAAGTGAAACATATTAACTTTTGATGTTTTTTATTAATATACTTTCGAAGTGAAACATATGAATCTTCAATCATGTACTCCTACTATAATATGTGTAATGGTGCCCACGTGACTCGTATTCTCAATATCTACAAAATATCTCTTCAAATTGGTTATTAATTCATTAGTGTGGCTTGTCAAGATTTCAGACACACAAACCAACAACTCATTACTAATCACCTTCGTACTCATACTTAACATGCGTATTACCTACTAGAGTTTTATCATAAAGATCTCAATAAAATTTTAATAGTAGCCGTTTATTATATATTGCACCTTTATTTTGTTAAATTTCTAACACGTTACTCTTTACATTCTTTAATATGTCTAACAAAGTTGATTTTTACACATTATTTTAACATCTTAATTATTTATTACACTTTATTCTTGTTATTATCCAAAAAAATCAAACGAGAGTGTAAAAAGAGAAAAAATGGTATATGTTTAAGGAAACTGTTATTAGTACTTTAAAATTTTCATTCTACATTCTTCATAAATGTATTTTTTTTTAACTATAAAAAAATTAAAATGAGATTTTTGAAATATCGATCACAATTCTCACGTTTAATCCCTATCTCTAGTATACGTGTGGAGGGTAGGTAGCTGGCTGACTAGCCGAGAGCAGGCTGGCTCGTGATTTGCATGGCTTGTACGAAATTGAGAAATATTTCTAGATTAACTGGAATGGTCAAACCCTGCGGCAGTTCGAAGGAAATATTATATTACATATACTAGATTTTCAAATTCAACGTGTGAATGGGACTTTGGAATGGCATATTTGGGATCGGACGAGAAGTGTGAACATAGATGTGCAAATGGAATCTTTGACTTGGGAATTTTAACAAATTAATCAATTTATATATTTGGAGCAACAACTTCACCAATTCTAGCTATTTAGTTGGTACATTTCGACAATAGCATAAATTGTTCGTACATGTGGACCTATGAGTGTATAACGGTTGTTAACGCTGAGCATTTTTAGGCCCGAATAGTGATGCGGGTTGGGAAGAGTGTCTCAGAAAGCTCAAGAGAAATTTGAGAAGCCCCATGCTCAAGGAGCTGATAGGAGGATATATCTGAGCGTAGTAGCCGACCGCTCATGAGCCTAGCTCGACCGGGGGATGCAAGAATCTCACGCCCGCCAAGAGCACGTTGGCAGAGTTCCCAAAGACAGGTGTACTCAGATGCCAATCACGCCACATGACAACTACCATTCAGTGACAAAGACATAGGACAAGACGTAAAGGTAGTGGAATGGTGCTCGGGTAGTAGGGTTGGATAAACAAGGCCGAACGAGGCGCTCAACTCGTACCACTCTGACATGACTCACTATTCAAGCTGAGCACCAACTTATAGTCCTCGATGTAAATTTCAACAAAATAAAACCTTCTAAATTAAAGTTACAGTAAGAACGAAATATCCATGGATGATTGTTGGACAAACTTAACTTCTGATTTGGAAAAGCACTTGGAAACTAAATACTAGAATATATGATGGTGGTTTGAAAAGCATGTGTAGTCCTAAAAAAAGAAAAAAAGACGAAGAGGATGAAACCAATTAGATTGTCAAACAAGTTGAATGATCTTATGTGGAAAGGCACTTTAGTAACCAAACATTGAGGCTATTAATTTCGTCACTATTACAGGAATTTTACCGGAGATACAGAATTTGCATAGGATGGAATATTGGGGTTTTAAACCCTAAAAATTGGTTTTACATAAGTTTTTTTAAGCATGTTCTTCATTGACCAAGGAAGCTTTCTGAACAAGAAATATAAAACAAATAGTTAATGACAATCTTCTCGTCTCTTTCTGTTTATTTTGAACTCATTAACAATGCTGATTTTTTTCTATTTGATGGACAATGGTGTATAGGAAGATGGAGGCTCTATTTGCAATGGAAAAATAATCTTTTAATTAATTAAGATTTATGTTAATTTATTGCGAAGTCATTGCCATATTATTGCTGGCTCATTGATGAGTCGATTTCATATTATATATTAAAAAAGAAAAAAAAGAGAAGTCATTGCCACATCACCTATTAATTCAGTGATAATCATTTTAACTTTTAGTTTCGACCATTAGATGTATAATATTTGTCCATTGATCCTAATCCTAAAAAGTAGAATTGTAAGTAATATTAGTTATATTTTTGTGTATGGCTCCCTAATACACGCCGATCACACTTTTACTCCTATTTTCCTTCCTCCTCCCTCTTCGACTACAACAAATACATGACGGTACATTTGGTCAAGACCACCAACGAGCAGTCACCACCTTCCACGTACGTAAAATTTGTCATTAGAATCATTCGATGGTTATATGAAATTTGTTTATTACTGATTATCTTGGTTGTATTATTTCAAAAAATGACTAGGTTTGGTGCTATATTGAATTGCAATGGTAGGTGGGTTGACACCAAATACATTGATGGTCAAGTGAAATCAACGGTTGGCCAGATAACGTCACTTATGAAGAGTTAGTGCATGTCATACTTCAACGATTAGGTTTTGATGCAAGAAACTGTGAAATCGAAGTATTTTATCAGTACAAGACAAATTTGGGATTGTGCAATATGGTGGAGATATGTGACAATGACGATGTGACTACTTGGGTTTGTAAAAGCCTTTCCAAAGTTCCACTGTACATTAATATCAAAAGAAAGTTTTCCGGATGTGAAATTGCAAGTAACCATGGCAATGCAATTATAAACTATTTGGCTTTATTATCGAAGGTAAGGTTACAAACGTCTCTCTAACTATGTTACATTTCATGAAACGTAAGGGGTTTCTAACGTCTTGCAGAACAAACATCTCTCTAACTCTGTTACATTCCAGAGGTTCTAAATACGTTATTGATCATTGGTTTGCTATTTCAGATGACTCGAGAAAGAAAGATCTAAAAAACAAACATTTGTGGGAAGATTTGGACTTGGAGAGCTACCTGACGGCAACGGCAGCGGCCCCGCGCTGGGGTAGAGAGCCACAAGTTTGTGATGTTATCCCACATTTCTTTTGATATGGGTCCAATTGGACTAAAAATTAGAACTATTTCAAAAGTTAAAAATCACTAAAAATTTGACCTATTTCAAAAGATGGGCTATAAAATTGAACCTCTTTCAAATTTTCCCCTTATTTTACATCTCTGAGAATTCTACTCCAATGAAAAAGATGTAATCCAACTTCCAAAAACGTAAAAGAAAGATGCAAATATACCTTTCTATTTACATCTTCCCATCGAAGATCAATAATTTACCACCCGTAATTGGAGAGCTTTCCAGCTAAGAAAAAAAATATACAAGCTCTTGTAATATCAGCTACAAAGCCCAATAGCGAATGTCCGAGCAACAATCGCATCCCTCAAATTCATCTATCATGGATCCACCCATAACCTAAACGTCAACAAAGATATACTAGCAAATGCTAAGGAGACTCTTAAAAGTAGGACATTCCATAGACTCTCGGTCGGCTCATCTTTGTGGCACAATTCTCGTGCCAACTCATAAAACAACGTGCAAAAGCAGCCAAACAAATGAGGTGGCGAAAAGTCCGGAGTCCACTTTGAGAGTCTCCTTAGCATTTCTCAAGACATAAATACAGAGATTTTAAAACGTTTCATGTTTTAAAACCCGGAGATCCAAGTGAATTACGTTCGAGAATTAGACATAAACCGACTGCCAAAACAACAAATTAAATTTTCAACGCCATGCATTTAAGTTCAAATGATGCCATTCATCTCCCGATCAGTTTTTAAGTCTTAAAACTATATATACAAAATACCTAATAAAAGTTGGCAACAGAACATTTCACATTGAAGTCTCACGCAATGCCATTGATTCTCAAAGATCAGTTTCAAGTCTTCAAACCACGTACTATCTAAGCAGCTCAGATAATTGGCTCAGAGCTCTTCAGCGGGTCCAGCTTCCTTTCTCTTTTCCACTGTAGGTGATTCGAACCCACCCGTCTTTGTCCCTGTTTTTCTCATCGACTTCGGACATCAAGGTAGTACCTGCGCAACATTGGAACAATTAGAGTGACTACATCCGGACCTATGTTGGGACAATGATGGATATTATTACTTCCGGCCTACAACAAAAATGTGATGTAGCTATGCTCACCAATGGGAGGTTCGGTGTTCTTAAAGTAGACAAACATCGACTTCTTCCATGGAAAATCATGCTGAATCCTTAACCGAATAAAATCAACAAATTCTTTGAGAGGCATATCACAGTGGACATTGTATCTGCAGTGAAAAACATAGGACAGGTGACAGAATACATGTGAGAACCCTTCATCCAACACAAGCATGTACATCTTATTTCATCTCTATTTCCTCCTATTTGTTTCTGACAGGTTTCGTAACATATGATGTAAAAAACGAGGGGTGGGAGCGTCAAATCACTATAATCAAAGCAAAAAGGAATCAGAAACAAACTTTGTCATGTCAATATCAGGAATGTCACTGCTTACATCCTTCTCCACACTCACCTGCACAAAGGCTCAAATTAGAGCATCCTACGTATTAACTCCACCGAAGGCATACATAGCTAATAAAGTGAAAGTCTTACAGTTATATGATCTGGTTCCCTTGCCCTCAATTCCCAAGCATTTAAAAACACTGGTGTGTACGTCCCCGGGTAATCCCTGAACAAATATCCAAAGCATAGATGAAAAAACAGCAATCCCATTTCATTGTAGCAAATACAAATCAAGATAATCTAAAGCACAAGGGAAAGGGCAACAAATTTGTTGTGCGGAAGCGTCAAATATGAAACCAATAAGCAACAACGGCAAAATATGATAAGACAAATAATCCAAATGACACAAGGATTTATACTGGTTCGGCGTAAGCCTACGTCCAATTCCGAGACGGCGAGGAAATTCCACTAATATCAAAATGGAGATTAAAAATAGAGTTTTAACTCTCAAACCCAAATCCTACATACACCCAATAGCTCTCACTCTCACAAAGAACAAATGGAGAAGATGGAAAACATATACCAAATTCCTTCTCTCCCAAAAGCCACAAAATGTAGCACAAATATCTTTGATTGAGTGATTACTAACAAAAGGGGATTACAAACAAATGGGAAGGAGCAGCACTGTTTCAAATGGGAGAGCCGAACACTCTCCCTGGTATGGCTTTCATCTGATGCCACTCCCCCCACATCTCCCACATTCGGATGCAACATTTATCCATACAAAAGCATCCAATAAAAAATCCAAAGTAAAGGAATAATCATTCCTTTACAGACATCATTATGACATTTCTTTTTCTTTTCAACAAACATCATCATTGGTATCCTCATAATGATGTTCCTACATCATTATGTCTTTCATTTTTTATTATATGCTTTTGGCCACTTTACCACTAATTTGGCCACTATCCAACAATCTCCACCTTGGCCAAATTCCGAAAACATCACAGAGAATCGAATCAACAATCACCATAAGCACCCAAAGTACAAACTAAAGACAACGGGAACTAAATCAAATTCTCCAAACTTACCAGTGCTCATAACAATTTCCACCTCGACTCAAACTGTACCAAAGCCAACGAAAGTGAACATTTCTCTACCATCTTCTCCAAATTTGCAAACCATAAGTGCCTTGATCAAAACAAAAGGTGATTCAAACGAAGAACTGAAATTCTTCAATATCACCAACAAAAGATCAAGCACATCATACCAAAGTTGGACACACAACGAACTCCACCTGCTCACAAACACCATGGTCTTAAACTGCACCAATAGACTCATTCACATAGCATGGCACATTCTCCAAGTCAAAACTGATTACAAATTTGGCAACAAGGTCTCACATACCACATACAAAAAAATATGCCCTTCACTCAAGTTTACCATCATCACATGAGCACCAACAGGACAACCAAAATTTCAAATTCAAATAATCAGTAGGAGATCCAAAACCATACCTCAATTGGAGTCTTCAAAAAAGCTAATTGCAGATGATGGAGACCAACAAACCAAATAGCAGTGGCAAACAAATCCAACCAAATGTACATAAACCAAACAAAGTTAGAAAGCATAACTTGCCTTCTACAAGAGGGTTCCACACAAATGTTCTGCATTAGGTGTCTCCAAAATAGTGTGGTGTCTCACTATCCAAACTTGCAGAACTCAACAAATTGGCCCTCACAAACTCCTCCAATGTTTCCATCAACTTGCTCCAAAGGCAACTAGTGGGAGTGAAGAAAAACTTCTCTACCGTTGAAAAAATGCCAAAGAGAAGAAAACTTAGCCTTAGCCTTTTTCCCTTTTCTTTCAGCCAACAACATCATTTGTCATCATGATGTCCTTCTGCCAAAACAAATGCCGAAAGAAAAAGAACCAACATTTTCTTTTCAATTTTCAACTGCTTCTACCTTTTCTCCTTCCCACTCAACTCGTCGACAACAGCCTACAAACACCTCCGGTGCAACGATGACCAACGGAAAACCCACCAAAAGCAGTACACTACACCTGCAGCCGTCGAACACCAACACTTCAACAACATCAACAACAACATTGCAGCAGACACGCTGTTTCCGAAACCATTCTCCAATTGACCAAATACCAAAGTCATTCCCCCTGTTGATTTTTTTCAAAAAAAAACATATTTCACCGTCATTCGAAGATTTCATAGACATACTAGTACAAAGCCTCCAAGTCGAAACCCGGAGCTCTGATACCACTTGTTGTGCGGAAGCGTCAAATATGAAACCAATAAGCAACAACGGCAAAATATGATAAGACAAATAATCCAAATGACACAAGGATTTATACTGGTTCGGCGTAAGCCTACGTCCAGTTCCGAGACGGCGAGGAAATTCCACTAATATCAAAATGGAGATTAAAAATAGAGTTTTAACTCTCAAACCCAAATCCCACATACACCCAATAGCTCTCACTCTCACAAAGAACAAATGGAGAAGATGGAAAACATATACCAAATTCCTTCTCTCCCAAAAGCCACAAAATGTAGCACAAATATCTTTGATTGAGTGATTACTAACAAAAGGGGATTACAAACAAATGGGAAGGAGCAGCACTGTTTCAAATGGGAGAGCCGAACACTCTCCCTGGTATGGCTTTCATCTGATGCCACTCCCCCCACATCTCCCACATTCGGATGCAACATTTATCCATATAAAAGCATCCAATAAAAAATACAAAGTAAAGGAATAATCATTCCTTTACAGACACCATTATGACCTTTCTTTTTCTTTTCAACAAACATCATCATTGGTCTCCTCATAATGATGTTACTACATCATTATGTCTTTCATTTTTTATTATATGCTTTTGGCCACTTTACCACTAATTTGGCCACTATCCAACAAAATTAACTACCTGTATACATAATGGTTCCAGGGGTCCAACGGACCAATCCACCTTGAAATCTGAATCTTCCCGATTTTCCTACAAGCATAAATGAAAAGGGAACAACCTTTATTCTAGTTTCCATTGCAGCAAAAAAAATATGATAATTAAAGAACAAGGGAATCGACAACTAACTTCCCCCTCTTGAACCTGCCAGGAGCTATGTCACTCCTTGCAGCAGCTTTATTAGCAGTAGTCTTCCTCCTGACCCTGCAAGGATGTAAACATACATATATGATTCAGCTAAAGTGTATCTTACCACCGCCCCTCTGTAGGATGCACTATTCCAAGGGTCTAACACCTGAATGGGCCATATGCGGCTGAAAATAAATAAAAAAGTAGGAATAAATGAAAGGGGAAGCATGCATCGTGTTGCAAATCCATTCCCTTGTCGACAGAAACAAAAATCAAGACAAATTTAAAGTAATTAATGAAAAGGTATTGGCAGACTAACTACCTGCCCTCCTCCTTGAGCTCTGGCACATAAGCCTCCGCACGCACTGAAATTTGTGAGTACTCAGAGAGAGCATCATGGAGTCGAGCCTCTTCTAAGTATGACTCAGCTTCTCTCTCAGATAAAACATGTTGCGTTTCAGATATCATGTTTCATGTTTTAGTTAGGCAGCCCCATTTGTCCATTTGTTTTACAAATTAAGCATGTGTTTTAGAAATGTTCTGGCTTACATGGTGCATGTCTCTGTTTTATGATTTTCTTTATTAATAATTCGATTTGCTATACTAGTCAATCTCTGTCCTTGTTCCCCATGCATCCACTACAATGATTGTAAAACATGGCCATGTTTTGGACTTGGTCACTGCTTCCCAGATTGATTGGATGAAGGTAACGCTTGCTTCTGACATTTACATTGGTTTGAGCTTAAAGTATTTTGTTCTTATTTCATGATGCTCACAAATCTTCATATTTTGTCACTTTCAATCATGGAAAGTCAAAATAAAAAAGCAAGCAAATGTGCAGGGCCATGGCCTGGGAAGGCCCATGGCCATATGAGGAGAATAAGGGGGGGTTGGCGCCCCTGGAGCAGGTTTTGCCCAAGGGAAAGGAAGACGCCGAGGTGGTAGACAACTGAGTCATCGCCACTGCCGCCCCATTGTATATGGCCAACGGCGCGGAAATGACATTGATTTTATGAGGGAATATCATGAGGCGGTGGCTGCTAGTTTGAAATATGTCCTCACACTCCTTTTGCAAGATTATGTGAGTGTTGGGGACATGATTTCGCACATACAGAGAGTTGTTGATGTCGACGGAAATCGGGCATTGACCGTGCTGCACCGGATTACCTTTATGATGAGGCAGAATGGCTAGAAAGTCCGATGAACAGTAGAGGAAGCTAGAATAGCTGTGTGTGATGATTTCCGCCAGACTGTCCAATCAGTAGAAATTGTTTTTCGTGTTGCAGGAACAGTAAGGGTCAAAATCCACGGTCATGTAAGGCAGCTGGCTAGGAGAGAGATTCCCACCTTGACTGAATTGGTAAACCGGATTCGCCTTTGGGCAGCAGTAGATGGAGATCGAGAGAGGTTTGAGGTGCAGATAGCTGGGCAGGTGATGAATTACGACTCTGACGAGATTGAGACTTATAGCTACAGGGTAGGCTGGGGGAGGGCAGTCATTGCTCTGTGGGGTGTGTGGGTCTCAAGGTAGAGATCACTCTATAAAGGAAGGGGTTAAGACTGTGACTTTGATTTAATGGTAATACAAGTAAACAATTCAAAAGTATAGGATTATAGCCGACTTATCGAACTAAACAATCTTTGCAAGGATAAGAATTTGGATCTAATCTGCTTTTGTTTTCAAAGTGATCAGATTTTTTATAGCTGACTGAATTTGGAAATGAGCAATCCTGACCCCTTAAAATAAGGCCTGCCCTCAGACCACAACATCGTTCAAGTCAACTACAAAAAATCTCATCACTTTGAAAACAAAAGCAGATTAGATCCAAATTCTTATCCTTGCAAAGATTGTTTAGTTCGACAAGTCAGCTACAATCCTATACTTTTGAATTGTTTACTTGTATTACTGGTAAATCAAAGTCACAGCCTTAGCCCCTTCCTTCCTTCCTTTACAGACTGATCTCTATCTCGAGACCCGCACACCCCGCAAAGCAACGACTGCCTTCCCCCAGCCTACCATGTAGTTATAAGTCTCAATCTCATCGGAGTCATAATACATCACCTGCTCGGCTATCTGCACCTCAAACCTCTCTCAATCACCATCTACGGCTCCCCAAAGGTGAATCTGGTTTACCAATTCGGTTAAGGTGAGAATCTCTTTCCTAGCCAGCTGCCTCACATGAACGTGGATATTGACCTCTATTGTTCCTACAACACGAAAAGCAATTTCTTCTACTGATTGGACAGTCCGGCAAAAATCATCCCACGCAGCTATTCTAGCTTCCTCTACCATCCATCGGACTTTCTGGCCATTCCGCCTTATCATAAAGGTAATTCGGTGCAGCACAGTTAATGTATGATTCCCGTCGACATCAACAACTCTCCGTGTGTGTGAAATCATGTACCTAACACTCACATAATCCTACAAAGGGAGTGTGAGGACATATTTCAAACTAGCAGCCACTGCCTCGTGATATTCCCTCATCAAATCAATGTCATTACCACACCACTGGCCATATACAATGGGACGGCGGCGGCGGGGACCCAGTTGTGTGCCACCTCCAACACGTCCTCCTACTCCTATGGCCATAGGCCCTCCTTGACCATGGCCCTGCACATTTGCCTACTTTTTTATTTTGACTTTTCATTACTGAAAGTGACAAAAAAACACAAAAAAACACGAAGATTTGTGAGCATCATGAAATAAGAACAAAATACTATAAGCTCAAACCAATGTAAATGTAAGAAGCAAGCGTTACCTTCATCCAATCAATCTGGGAAGCAGTGAGCAAGTCCAAAACATGGTCATGTTTTACAATCATTGTAGTGGATGCATTTGCAGGGGAAGGACAGAGATTGACTAGTACAACAAATCGAATTATTAATAAAGAAAATAAAAAAACAGAGACATGCACCATGTAAGCCAGAACATTTCTAGAACACATGCTGAATTTGTAAAACAAATGAACAGATGGGGCTGCCTAACAGAGGCTTAAAACATGATATCTGAAACGCAACATGTTATATTTAAGAGAGAAGCTGAGTCATACTTAGAAGAGGCTCAACTCCATCCCTCTGCAAATTCCTAATGCAATCACACTCATTATCCTGATGAAGCAGCAGAGCCCAAAACAATAACCAAATTAAAAGCCAAAACAGAAGAAAACAGACAAACAAACCTGACCCTGGTTGGTCAAATGTATTGCAATCAAAGGAGATGAGGAGTGCCAAGTTTTGGTATAGCGTTGCAATGGAATCAGGGTGCAAAGCTACAGAGGTAAATACAACATAAACCTTAACAACAAACAGTAGAGGTTAAAGTATCACCTCAAGCGGAAAGTAAGCTAGCTTCTTTAGTTTCGCAACGGTGATGCATGGGAAATCTGCTGATTCACACACCGGTAGGTTTTTATAAACGGCAAAGTATTCAGAACATGTAATTTCTTCTCCATCACCATACTGCTCTTGTTTTGATTTCAGAAAGAACCTAGACATAAATGTGTTGCGGTAAATTCTTCGATTAAATCAGAAACCAGAAATTGAGATGATCTTTTAAGCCTACTTTACAGATGGCATGGATATAAGAAGGAACAAATGCAATAGAGTAGACTGATGACTGACTGAGGAAAGAACAACAGTAAGTACTCACTGTTTTGCTACATTCTGCCTTAGGATGATATCAAGAACCCACACTGCCTCCAATGAAGAGGAATCAAAACTGATCTGTGAAACAGGAGAATGATTAAAGCTCAATTTTGGTTGCAACTCTAGATCATGTAAATATAATACATCAGAAAAATATTAAAAATAACAGAAAAGGGAATTCAGATAGGACCAACAGGTAACTAATAAGAAACTCAACCACAATTGCTTTCATTGGGATTTTAGTCTCAAGGTTGACCTGCAGCTTTAACGTTTTGGAATGAAATTGCTTCTCAACTCTCGTCCCGTCTCCCTCACTCCCAACATGCTCAGAGCCCCTCCCAGGGCTTGCATTCTTCCAAGATATTTGTGCAAAAGGAGCAATGAGACAATGTCCTTATTCAATAAAAGAGCAAGAAAATGACATAATAAACGACGTGTTAGTACCTGAAATGGTTGGTCACCGCCACAGTAAGCAATTCTTTCTCTCCATAGGACTTGTTCACCGCCACTTTGAAATGGTTGGTCAGAATCCTTTGCCCCTTTTGTTCCATTGGCAGGCCTTGCCATGGGAATAAGTTTTGGAGTTGATGTATTTGTAAATAGCTCAACAGGCTTTTCTTCTGCTACAAGCATGACAACATGAGGAGGAATCATGGGTGGAGGTGGAGGTGGAGGAAGTTCAACTCCTTCAGGATTTAAAAACTCCATTTCCCAAGACCTGCTCAACCACAAAGCCCATTCCATCAAAACTTTAATACAAATAATTGCCAGAGAGTGAGAACAATTTGCATTCCATCAAAATTTCTAGCAGCCTAACTAAGCATACATTGTAAATGGCATGACTGTGGGTTAAAATCTGACAAGAGAGAGATGGCGGTGGAGAGAAAGAACCCACTAACCTAAAATTCAGAACGCACAGTCGACTTTCTTTGCACTCTGATAGGGAGAGAGGTGAAGGCGGAGAGAAAGAACCGAACAACCTGAAACCCATAATCCACCACCGGCTTTCTGAGAGAAAGAACCCACTAACGTAAAACCCAAATGCACCGCCGCTGGGCTTCTTTGCAATCTGAGAGAGAGAGGTGAAAGTGGAGGTACAGGTAGAGAAAATGAGGGCAAAATGTAGTAGTACAGTTGCTGGGACCCCGAGGCTCTGCCTGTCCTCTGCAGTGGGAGGGCAGGGGTTGTGTGATGGCCAAGTCCTAAGTCTAAATTACCTCTTTTTTTTTTCTTTTTTTTTAATGTGACTTGGTGTAAAAAGGGCTTTTGCAGCAAAAAAATTTCAATGTGCCGGTAAATTTTCTAATATTATGTGCCATTATATATAATGGAGAAGTCAGAAAATTATATTAAAAGAGGCATTTAAGCCAAATGAAAGATTGCAATATAATTAATGGGAGAAAAATTAAAAGTTTTATTTTTTTGTATTGACATGAAAGTTTTTAATTAAACAAGAATGGTGGAGCCTTATATATTGTATTAAAAACCTAGTATTGAAATAATCATATAATAAATCAAAACCTGTACAAGTTTTGATTAAAAAAAATAAACACATCATATTCGAACAAAAAATTAAGATCGTTACTTAAAATAAGATCATGCTCGAGACTGTATAAGCCCTTGTTTTATATCAACTGGCTAAAAAATAGGGTATGATTTTTATATGTAAAACAGATGACCATTATAACAAAAAAAGAGACCTTAGTTTTAATATGATAAAAAAATAAGGCAAATTATGAGGGCATTTTTATTATTTCAGTTTAAAAAAATCTGAAAAATGTTGGCATACCAGCAACTCTCGAACCGTGGACACTCAGAATTGCAAAAACCCACTAACCAATGAGCCACATGCTCATTTCTGTTAAAACCTGCAGAAATTAACTTACAAATCGCTGAAATGCCAGGATAGGCCTAGGACTATGCTAGGCTATGTAGCTCCGTCACTTATTATAAAAGTAGTATAGAAGATATAATATTTTCAATGTCTCTCAACTTGTATCATGACATGTGATGGTCTAATCGATTGTGTTTTCCTTACATTGAAAAATCTCGTCGTCTACGCAAAAGTGGCGGAATCTGAAACTAAATTAAGAGAAGCCAGAAACCTGATTAGGGGGGGGGGGACTTCAAACAAATCCGACTTTTAGCTCAAATTGCGGTTTTGTTTTTTTATTGTCACGTGCGTTTTAGTTATATATTTATCTTTCCGACCCATCTTGACATGTGGTGCATAGTCATTATCCACGTGGGCACCACGTCGTTAGTCAACGAAAAATTTAAGATGTACGAAGGTTCCCAAAATTATGACTTTAGGTATCAGGCTAGAATGAAAAAAAAAAAAAAAAAAAAAAAAAAACTTGATATATGAAATGTTGAAAACCAAAAAAATTTAGAGTAGTAAACTGAGATTAACTTTTTTTTTTTTTAATCGTTTTTTGGATGTGAAATATATCTTTTTTTTCTTACAACAGGATAATTGGGCAAGTTTCTTTTTCTAGGTTTGTTGACGTACTAAGTTTCGTTGCATCGCATAAGACGTTCCAAGAAGCGTTTCAATATCGAAGTTGACGATGCGGAGATGTAAAATCCCATTTTTCCAAGAAGCATTCCAAAATTTTATCATAAATTCAAGTTCCTTCCTTGAAAAATCCTGAAAGTATTTTATGAAAAAGAACCTATGATTTATGTATTTCTTTATAAAACATTAAAACATTATTTGGGAATAAAAAAAATTACTTTTGTATAATATAAATGTCAATTAGTTAAAATGATTCACTTTTAATATTTTGTCACTTTTGATATATGTCACCGATATCGATAACATCAACAACACAACTATAATATACAATGCAAGGCTAAAACTAAATCATTTTAGCAACTGAATGCAAGAAGTTGATTATTTCAACTAAAAACTTTATATAAAATAACAAAATGCTAAAAGTAAATCATCTTGTTATGCTATATATGCTACTCGTGCCTAAATTTATCTTTCTCCCTCTAGTTTCTTGGTTTAGTGTTTGCTTTTGTTGGGATTTTCAAATTATAGCTTAGCTTGGTTTAAGTGTCAGAGATTTTTTCATTGTATTCGGAACACACATGATAGTATATTATATATCACTATATAAGTGATGAGATATTTATTTAAAAAAATTAACAACCAGAACACCTGCATCCGGAATACGAGGCAAATTTTCTCCAAAAATTAAAATCCCCAAGAGAAATAGAGGAGGACGAAAGTCGCGGCCAAACAAGCGAACTCTGACGCAGCTACATGTCGTTCACTAATCAGGACGGCTGAGATTTTGAGCAGTCCGTTGACCTCCTTGATTGGTAACCGTCGGGAAACCATTACATTGCAGACAAGTCTCGAGCTAGTCGTCGGAACAAGGCGCCACCCCTGAGGTTCGGCAGTTCGCGGTGGATTCAGGTCTAATGCAGCGACTAGGAAGAGGACGAGGACGAGTCTACGCTCTAACGGTCAACTCTAGACTTTCGTGCACGGACTTGATCCTCGTCTAAAATATATCTCGCACTTCGTCCAAGCGTTTTGATCATGTCCTAGCATCGCTAGGGTATCTCGCACTTCGTCCAAGCGTTTTGATCATTTCCTAGCATCACTAGGGTCGGTTGTCCCTCCGCACCCTTTCCAAAAGGATCACCACTCGAGTCGGTCGGTTCTACAATATGTGGTGGTTTCCAACCCCATGGTTTGAGAACTCGGAAGCTTTTCCTCCTGCTCCTGGTGCTTGTCACCTTTCCTGTGTTAGAATTTTACAAGTTTGTAGAACGTAATATATGCTCATGCATACTGTTGATGTAGTATAACAAGTATCCCAGATTATATTTGTGCGACTATATATGATACCTGAAGCAGCCATTTTTGAAATTAAATGTAATTCTTCTTCTCGTTTAAGACCTTATGTTCCATAGGTGAGAGAACCCCTTAATATTGAGATCAATTTCTTCACGAGGAGGGAATTAGATTATATAGACATGGGTAATATTATGCAGAAATAAACAACAAACCATCAGGATAGTCAATTTCCAAATAGAACTCTCCTCGTCCTTCCATGTCTGCAAATATTCAAACAACGGATCAGTTATTGAAGATAGATGTCTCTTGATTATTGGTTACTGTGTAATCAATGCCACATCAGTCTAAGTTGTTATAATGTTTGTTAGGTGGTTAAATGATTTGTTATTTGGTTAATTAGGTACTTGTGGTTAAGTAAGCTTGTATTGTTTAGTATATAATGCACTTCCACTTACAAATGTAGTAAGTTGTCATTTTCCTCAAATATATAAAACTTTCTCTCTCTCTCTCTAAACTCTCTGTGTTCTTCCTTTTACTCATCATTTGTTCTTGATTTTCCCTTCAATTCTCAAACACTACAATGTAGTTAACATGGTATCAGAGCCACCAGGCTCACGCCATGGATTCTGGTGGTTCCATTTTCATTAGTTTTTCATCTTTTTCTAGTTTAGTTTCTCTTCGATCTTCATTAGGTATTTCGATAATTTCTTCAATGCTTCCGGAACTGTTTAGTTCGCTCTGTAATTTCTGGGTAAATTTTCGTTCTGGGTTGTTACCAGAGATCATCAGTGATATGATATCTTGGTCTTTGGAATTGTGGAAATTTTTTCATCTGTAAGCTTGAATCTTGATCCTTTGGGCCAAATTAGAAGTGGGAACTTCTCGGTTCTTGAATTGGGGATTTTATTTTTCAGATTTTCATCTAAGTTCTTCAATGGGTCTTGAATCGAGTCCATTATGGCCCAGTTTTATGTACCTGCGTGGTGAATCTTGATCGACTTCACGTCCGGCACCGTAATCTTACTGTGTGGGTACTTCATCTTCGCGTGTCCTCCCTTATCTTGGCTGGAACGGCAGAGAATTGGAGGACAGCGAGCGGAAGAAGAAGGTCAAGATCATGTCGAGGAAGACGAAGGACCAGAACGTGAGCGAGCCGTGTCAGCGGAGATGGTGAATGTGTGGTGACATATCTTTCATGTTGTGATTTGGTAATGGAGGAATCCTCTGGTTTCTTGGAGAGATGGGTTGTTTGGATTTCTGGGAAATAGATCGATGCAGGACTAATTCTTTGCACTGTTGATTGAGATCTTGGATTTCTGAATGCTATTTTCTACGATTTTGATCCCTACTCTGTTCCCTAGTATGGAAGAACGTTTAGACCTATGTGCAGCCCAAGTGCTTGACGAATTGCCCAGCTCAGAATTGCAAATCTGGGTTGCTCGAATATTAGGTATCTGGGTTGCTTATCGATTGGACGTCTGGAGTTCAGTGCTATTTGACGATCTGGTGATGCTTGTGTGGTGATTCAGGTGAATTTGTTTCTATTTCTCGAATCTCGATTCTATATGCTGCTTATTCTCTGAAGTCGTGGTATGCGTTTATTCTTGATTTCCTGGTTTGTTTGAAGCAAAGATTTAGTGGTTCTTGATTTCTGGATAGAATTGTGATATGGTGATGTCTCAAAAGGCCGATGTCATATATGGTGTTTGTGAAAATGTCTTAGACATATTGTTTGGACCTGATTTTACACATCGGCCTAAGCAATCGAGGCCGTTGAGTAAGCATGGTTCTCAACCGTTGGATAAGAAAGTTTAGATATTATTGTTAAGAGATAATATTATGATTTTTAATCATAATAATTATTTTTTAATAAGTTATCTCGATTTTTTATGCAAAATAAATGGGATGGAGGCAAGTAGAGTTGTGATGGGGACGTGAGCTTTGAATCAGGTTGGTTTGTTTTGCTGGACATGCATGCATGTGATGTAAAGATAATGAAGTGATAGGGGATAAATCCAAACATGCCAAAACGTGTAATTTGCAAAAGAATTGTGCAATATGGAGATTCTATCCTAATGCATGGTTTTTTGGGATTGGTTTTGTGCACGTGGCATGCGACAATGGAGATGATGGTTTTGCATGGTGATGGCAATATGGGTTTAAAGGTTTCTCATGTTTTTTTTAATAAGAAGCCTAGGTGGGTTAGATCTCTAGTGAGATGTGATAAAGCCTAGGTAGGCTTTATTTATCTGAATGATATGTGCGGCGTATTTGATACGGGATCAGGGTTTATCTGAAGGATATGCGCGGCATATTTGATACGGGATCAAGGTCAATTCCACAAAATAGAGTTGCATTTGGACTCTACAAAATT